CAATCAACTAATTAGGACAATCGGATTTTGAGGGAGTGAAACAGCTGATTCCTCTTACGGAACCAATTGAGCTCTGCTATGAAAATCAGAAAATTACAATACCCATACTGGTATCAGAACATACACCTATTGCATTGTTGGGAAGAGATGCATTGTGTAAATTGAACTGTATAATTAAATGTACACCATACGGCTGTCTGGTAGAAGTGCCAAAAGAAAAGTTTACCAATTGTTGATGACGACAGAGATGGATTCTTCTTCAGTACTTTGGATTGGAAATCTCAGTGCAGATTTTTTGAAGCAGGCTAACATATGGGATAAATTCATTCTAGCAAACATGCCAGATGCGAGCCTTCCAGAATATCCATTTCATTGTACACTGAAGTATTTCAAGAATGCTGCCCAATCGAACTCAGAGGAATGGTTGAGTCATCAACCAAAGAAAGTTCAACTCAGCTCATGTTGCATAATTTTAGGACCACAAGGAGCAGCTATGAAGATAAACACAGACGATTATCTGGATAAAGAATTTGAGATTGAGAAGAGTGTGCCACATTTGACCTTGTTGGTTTCTGAAGGCTATGAGCAGAAGCAAATAGGAGAAATGATGACAGAAGCAGAGAAAGTTGTTTTTGTACCGATGAAAGAGAATTTGGTGATTTGGAGGAGTGAAGATCAGCGGCTCAAGGACAAGGAGAGCCACAAGCTGTACGGAAGACACATGACTCTATTTGCAGTGCGAAGATGTATTCAGACCCTATGAAAGAGGAGATGTTGCAACAAGTTCCAGATATTGGACCAAGTTCCAGATATTGAACTTCGACCAGGAACCAGACCTCCTTGGAAGAATCAGTATCCATTGAAAGATGAAGCAATCCAAGGGATCGAACCACAAATTGAAGGACTTTCGAAAGCAGGTGTTTGAAGACAATAAAAAAAATCCTCAGAGTAACACGCCTTTGTTGCCTTTGGAGAAACCATGAGGGGTTGATAGTAGCGCCTCTAGACCTATTAGGTCTGATGATTCAGGAAGCACATGGGTTAGCTCATGTTGCAAGGGGGGAGGTTAGGAGAAAGATCACAAAGGAGTATGGGTTTTGGGAACCATATTTGCTTGAACAGGTTGACTATGTCATAGGCAGGTGCACAATCTGTCTGAAAAAAGAATGGTCGCAGGGGTGTGACTGTTTTTCTTGGTTACATTCCTACACCAAGAGGTGCATAATATGTCCAACTAAGCTAAAATATGCTCAGTCGGTTGCAAAGTTTTTGTGTAAAGAAGTCATAAGCAGGTGGGGACTTCCCGATCGAATATCCTCAGAAAATGGGAAAGAGTTTTGTGGATAAATCAGTGAAATGGATTTAGAAAAAATTGGGGAAAAAAGTCAGAGAAAAAAGTTATGAAAACTAGGGTTGAAGTAACTCTAGGAAATTTTGAATATCCAATCATTTTTCACTTGTGATATTTAGTGTTTTCTTATGAATCAAAGGGGGGAAATGGAATGTGATTCATTTTATATATCATTTTATATATAATTTTTATATTATTGTTGATATTGATGTTTTAATTTGCATGTGTTGTTTTGCAAAGATACTGGTTGGTGTTTTCTTTTCTTCCAGAAGTATATGGGGAATGTGTAGAGTGGGATTCAAATACTCAAACATGGACAATATGAATGGACTGGAGGAAGTGGAACAAGGAAGGTTTGGAAATGTTCAGATTCCATCATCGACGTTGCATTGAAAGTCGACACTGCTGAGGAGATGCAGTGTAGTGGACTACATTCCAGTGTCTGCAATGATATATAGACATATTTGTATGTGTAATACATAATTTGTGTCATTTTCTTTCTGTATTAATTTTTGAAGAATGATGTTTTCTGTTGTTGGGTACATGTGGGGACCTCAGATGTTTTTGTTTATTTCGTGGATTCTTATGGATATTGGGTCTAGGCAGGGACAGAGAGAATCCACAGGAGGGTCCGATGGGTCGACCAGCCTGAATGTGGACAAGTTTGATTGTACTTAGTTTTCTGAGGCTTTCATGTGTATTAAATTGCATCATAGTTTAAAATGCATTGATAAAGATTTATAAATTGATCTGGAGTACTTAGGTGGTCGCCTGGGGCAGAGGGGCTGTGAGAGAATTTTACTGTCTTGATTGATTGATGGATATTTGGAAAGAAAGCTGCCAGACCTTTTACCTGGAACTAACCTTGCAGATAGCATTACTGGGTGATCTGAAAAGTCATAGTCAATCAATCAATAATATAATAATACTTTTAGCAAAAATGTTTATTTTTAATTCACAATCTGTAGAAGCAATGAGAATAGAAAGGTTCAGAACTTTTGTAAAACATCACAGTACGGTTGAAATATATATGGCAAATAGAAATCCTATATGGATGGTGTTAAGAGATAGATGGGAGGTATTGAATAGAGTTGAAGGATGGGACTAATAACAAATAACAACAAATAATAACAAAGATAGCTAATAATGTAAGCATACTGTGTCCATAATAAGTATATAGGTTGTATGTTGGGAGCTTTTGGGAAAGAGCACAGTTAGAAAGATATGGCATATAGAAGCAAACCGGATGGACATCATGAAAATGATTGGAGAGGTTGAGAGTAAAAGAAGTTCAGGAGCAATAAAAAAATAAAAAATAAAAAATATATATAATAGAATTATTGTAAAATTAACTCTGTCCATAAGGTGTAGATAGTAAGTATAGACCGGAAGTAGAGGCCTGGGCATTGTTGTTCACTAATTTACTCCAAGTAGGGAAAGGATGGTGGGGTTTTAAAAGTAATAAAGGGGAGTATATATATAAAAAATATTTAAAAAACATGGGGGATTGGAAGTGATGCAGACAATTACATTGATAGAAGATACAATCTATCTGCAATATTAAGCTGATCCATTCCCCCCGAACAAAAAAAAAAAAAAAAAAAAAAAAAAGAAAGCTGCCAGACAGGTTTTTTCGCTCTTACACTCCATAACGATTTGTTTACACTTCATAAAAATGTGTTCACACTACATACATTTTGTTTTATTGTTAAAGTTACACAAGATTTGTCATAATCCTATTCTTTTTGTTTTCGAGACTTAATTAGTCTCGAAGGGGGGAAATATGTAGTATCTGAACATTCCAGAACTTGGCTCTGCTTGCGGAAACATCTGGAAAACATTACTATAGGGGCCCCCTAAAACAGAGGAGAGTCTGCTATGTAGAGGCCAGGGATTGGTCTATTAAAATCACGCCATATTATGTTACATAGGATATAAATACCATGTTTTTGAACAAAGGACGGAGAGAATAACATATTAGAGATTGGGTCAGTTGTTCTCCGGATTTCTGCAGGAGTCTGTAGATTGATTCTGTAATCTTTGATGTAATAAACCTTTATAATCAAAGTACAGTGTCAGCGGATTCCTTGTCTACACAGCATATCAGCATCGTTGTCTCGACACCACACTAGCTAGCTACTAACTACCTAACCTTTACTCTTCAGATAATGAGGTTTTCAGAAAAACAGCTGAATAGTAGCTAGCTAGCATAGTTACAGGTACTGTTAAAACTAGAATAGCCACAGTAAGCAAAATGATGTTGAAAAGATGTGTAAAATACGTATTTTCCAGACGTTGAAGTTAAGATCAATTTAGGTTCTGAATGAAAGGTGAAAATACGTATTTTCTGTATGTTTAAAATACATATTTTCCAGGACATCGAAAATATGTATTTGCCCGATGTTAAAATCAGGCACATTTTTGTCCTGAATGAAAGTTGAAAATATGTAATCTACAGATGTGTTTGGGACAAATCAAGGCTGGTCCAGACTGGAGAAAAAAAACTATGTCCGTGGATGTGGAAATCAAGGTCGGTCCGGACTGCACCAAAAAAATATGCCCAAAAGGCATCGGCGTTGGTCCATGCTTACCTGGGTGTAGCTTACCATGTCGGCCCCAATAGAAGTGTGTGAATACCCATCATTGTAGTAGACCCACAATTTGTAAAACAGGCCATTGCATTGGCTTTATTAGTCCTGATTCTTGTGACTAATCGATTTGTCTGTTCATGCCTAAATATCAGCTACCCAACTTTATCAGGAGTTATCTTGAGCCTATTTGCAATATGTTTACACAGCGGGAAATGCAGAAGTAGTTTCTTTTTTGTTATGATCAGCTTGCCAAAAATTGACGGGAGACCACTGATCATGACAATGGGGTGAAACTCCTGGACAATAGTTGTGATTGTTCATTCCATATTGTCCATTTTACTTTGATCTGATCTGTTTTTAGGATATGTTGTTTGTTAACATGACAACTCATTTTTTATTTGATTGGGCGCCATGTAAATTAGGCTATTTGATCTGAGAAACCTGCATGATGTAAAAAGTGTTCGTCTCATTGCATTGTCATACATTTTATCTCCAGCCAGTAGGCTACAGAAAAGGCCACATAGTCTTTTTACCATATCCTATATCTGCTACATGATTTATGTTTAAATGATTTTTTGGACGGAACGTTGGTGGAGCCCCACAGTTATGTGTCTCTCCAACAGCACCCTGGAATGGACAAGCAAACTATTTTGCACCCCTGCCTTTGACAAAGTGGACACTGTTTATCACAGGGCGGCATCAGCGCTCACCTAAAAAGCCCATATGCCACTGGTTGAGAGAAAGTGTCATTGTTTTTGGGCAGAATTATGTGAGGTTGTATGCGTTGTTGTTGGAGAGGCGTCTTGGTCAGTTTAGCCCAGAAAATTCTGCCGTCTTCAATATGCCACCATTGCGCTGTGAGTGCCCATCTCCCTCCAGATCCGTTCTTCTTCTCCCTGGGCATGCCCTCTTCAAATGTTTGTAACTATTGACTTGCAAAAACTAGTCTAATAAGGAGTTCACTTCCCCAACAAGAGAACTTCAGTTAAATGTATGTGATTGTAAAGGATGTCTGATTAGCCTGTGCTTTTCTGTTATTGTGCTTAGACAGTCCATACATCGTCTATGTCCCAGTCCTTTCTCACTACCTGAGAGTAAACTGTGTCTTCCCTTAAAGGATGCTGGTTCCCCACTGCCATTGCAGAGTAGGTGACATCCTCAGCTGGCTTGACATCTGCATCTTTCTGGTCTTCTCCAGATGGGTCGTGTCCTTTGCTCTTGGCAATGTTGAATCTGACGATCTCAGAATAAACCAGGTCCTGGGGAAAGACAAAGAGAGGGAGAGGGTAAGAGAGATGAGGATCGTTGAATGATTACAAATATAATGTGACTAGCTGAAATCTTAGGCTGGAATTCAGTCAAACGCACAACAAAAATCAAGTTTTCATTAGTTCTCTGTTCCTCCCTTATGTGGACACAAGCTGAAGCTAAACAAACTCACCTCTTCTCTTCCTGTCCCTGTCCTGTCTGCATTGACCACCGGGATGCTTGCATCTGAAAAAACAATCACAGAAGGTTTTACAGAAAGCAGAAATCCAGGTCAGGGCTGACTGAGCAGAAGGGGAACTTGAGTCGTGTGCTTGGTAAAAAATATGGTTTCTACTCACCAATGCTGACAGAGGGGTTGAATAAAGCCTCGCGCCTAGGTAGAGAGAATTATATAAATAGATTCACTGGTAAAACGTAACATTCAGTTCCTATGCACTTCTAATGACCTTAAAGACCATGAGTATATAGATCTACTGAAAAATAACAAAATACGTTTCCTCAAACGTATCAAGTTGCATACATAAAAAATGCCATGCTCTGAAAATGAATCACTAACATCTAACTAACACAGGATGATACATTACATGCCATTGAGATACAGTTGAAGTCGGAAGTTTACATACACCTTAGCCAAAAACATTTAAAATGTTCACAATTCCTGACATTTAATCCTAGCCATTTTGCCACACCTTTGGAAGTATGCTTGGGGTCATTGTTCATTTGGAAGACCCATTTGTGACCAAGCTTTAACTTCCTGACTGATGTCTCGAGATGTTGCTTCAATATATCCACATAATTTTCCTTCCTCATTATGCCATCTATTTTGTGAAGTGCACCAGTCCCTCCTGCAGCAAAGCACCCCCACAGCATGATGCTGCCACCCCCCGTGCCTCACGGTTGGGATGGTGTTCTCTGGCTTGCAAGCATCCCCCTTTTTCCTCCAAACATAACGATGGTCATTATTGCCAAACAGTTCTATTTTTGTTTCATCAGACCAGAGAACATTTCTCCAAAAATAAATAAAGATACTTTTGTACCGGTTTCCTCCAGCATCTTCACAAGGTCCTTTGCTGTTGTTTTGGGATTGATTTGCACTTTTCGCACCAAAGTACGTTCATCTCTAGGAGACAGAACACATCTCCTTCCTGAGCGGTATGACGGCTGCGTGGTCCCATGGTGTTTATACTTGCGTACTATTGTTTGTACAGATGAACATAGTACCTTCAGGTGTTTGGAAATTGCTCCCAAGGATGAACCAGACTTGTGGAGGTCTACAATTTTTTTTCTGAGCTCTTGGCTGATTTATTTTCATTTTCCCATGATGTCAAGCAAAGAGGCACTGAGTTTGAAGGCAGGCCTTGAAATACATCCACAGGTACACCTCCAATTGACTCAAATGATGTCAATTAGCCTATCAGAAGCTTCTAAAGCCATGACACATTTTCTGGAATTTTCCAAACTGTTTAAAGGCACAGTCACCTTAGTGTATGTAAACTTCTGACCCACTGGAATTGTCATACAGTGAATTATAAGTGAAATAATCTGTCTGTAAACAATTACTTGTGTAATGCACAAAGTAGATGTCCTAACCGACTTGCCAAAACTATAGTTTGTTAACAAGACATTTGTGGAGTGGTTGAAAAACAAGTTTTAATGACTCCAACCTAAGTGTATGTAAACTTACGACTTCAACTGTATATATTATGTTCTCTTTAATGATGTGTTACAGACAGTTTACACACACCTCTTCCTGACAATGATGAGGTAAGCTGTGGCTGTCATGACAACTGTTACCAATAGGGCTGCGGTAACAATTCCAGCAACCTCGCCAGATGATGGAGGTGGAGTCTGATCTGGGAAAGGAAACAGAACCACTGTCAACTCTTTGACCTCTGACCCAGCTGATTGTCAGACTGAACCCTACAGTATCTGCAGAAAAACTATTGTCACTAATCAAAGATTTATTTATCCATCATTTAATAAGATCCTTTATTTTCTTGCCTATGTTAAGAGTTCCAGAGGGTTGAGTGGAGCTGAAGGATGGGACTAAAAACAAACAAAAGATAACTATTGTAAAATATACTGTGTCCGTAAAATGTACATAGTATGTATAAGCTGGAAGTAGAAGCCTAAGTGTTGATGTCCATTACTTTACTCCAATTAGGATGGTAGGGTTAGGGGAAAATAATAAAGAAAAAATATATATATTTTAAAATATATTTTTTATATTGACAAAAATATATAGGGGATTGGAAATGATGCAGACAATTACGTTGATGGAAGCTACAATCTATCTGCAATATTAAAGCTGATCTTCCAGACTCACCCAGTACAGTGAGGATGGTTGTTCTCTGAAATGAGCCACTGGGGAAGGTTGTCAGGATACAGGTGTATTTCCCTGCATCAGTCATCTCCACATCTTTTATAGTAATAGAGAGATCACCTGTGGAAGGTCCATCGAACTCCAACCTCCCTTTTAGAGGTGACCCAGAAATATTTTGCCCAAAGTTAGGGCTAAAGACAGCTATGGAAACCTTTTTGCTATCTGAGTTCTCCCACTGCCACTCAGCCTGAGTGAGATTGCCCTGGAGCAACTCACAACGCAGTGTGACATCATTACCCAGGTACCCCCGTCACCTGTGGGTCAACACTGACCTGAGCTTCCAACACTACTAGAGATGGAGACCGAAGAGGAGCGAGAGATGGAGAGAGAGAGAGAGAGGGATTACGAACCGTATACAGTGAGGGAAAAAAGTATTTGATCCCCTGCTGATTTTGTACGTTTGCCCACTGACAAAGAAATGGTCAGTCTATAATTTTAATGGTAGGTTTAATTGAACAGTGAGAGACAGAATAACAACAAAAAAATCCAGAAAAACGCATGTCAAAATGTTATAAATTGATTTACATTTTAATGAGAGAAATAAGTATTTGACCCCCTCTCAATCAGAAAGATTTCTGGCTCCCAGGTGTCTTTTATACAGGTAACGAGCTGAGATTAGGAGCACACTCTTAAAGGGGAGTGCTCCTAATCTCAGCTTGTTACCTGTATAAAAGACACCTGTCCACAGAAGCAATCAATCAATCAGATTCCAAACTCTCCACCATGGCCAAGACCAAATAGCTCTCCAAGGATGTCAGGGACAAGATTGTAGACCTACACAAGGCTGGAATGGGCTACAAGACCATCGCCAAGCAGCTTGGTGAGAAGGTGACAACAGTTGGTGCGATTATTCGCAAATGGAAGAAACACAAAATAACTGTCAATCTCCCTCAGCCTGGGGCTCAATGCAAGATCTCACCTCGTGGAGTTGCAATGATCATGAGAACGGTGAGGAATCAGCCCAGAACTACACAGGAGGATCTTGTCAATGATCTCAAGGCAGCTGGGACCATAGTCACCAAGAAAACAATTGGTAACACACTATGCCGTGAAGGACTGAAATCCTGCAGCGCCCGCAGGGTCCCCCTGCTCAAGAAAGCGCATACACATGCCCGTCTGAAGTTTGCCAATGAACATCTGAATGATTCAGAGGAGAACTGGGTGAAAGTGTTGTGGTCAGATGAGACCAAAATGGAGCTCTTTAGAATCAACTCAACTCGTCGTGTTTGGAGGAGGAATGCTGCCTATGACCCAGAACACCATCCCACCGTCAAACATACTGTACCATCGTACTGCCTCCACTGTCTTCCTCCATCCAGAACATACTGTACCACTCTGTCCTGCCTCCACTGTCTTCCTCCATTCAGAACATACTGTACCACTCTGTACTGCCTCCACTGTCTTCCTCCATCCAGAACATACTGTACCACTCTGTCCTGCCTCCACTGTCTTCCTCCATCTAGAACATACTGTACCACTGTCTGCTCCACTGTCTTCCTCCATCCAGAACATACGTGGCACTCTGACCTGCCTCCACTGTCTTCCTCCATCCAGAACATACTGTACCACTCTGTCCTGCCTCCACTGAGTCTTCCTCACTGTTGACTGTAAGTGAGTATGAGGGGTAAATCATTCTGATGGGGATTGAGTTCATGTTCCTTAAGTTAACACAGGCACAGTAACCTCCGTGCCAATAGGATTATATCACTTACTTGGCTTTTATATAATTATCCACAGAATTAAATATAACATTTATAGTACATGTTATGTATTTACCTATTTAACATTATTTATATGTATCTCTATGCTTATCACTTGTTGGTCATATTGTTCTTATCATAGCTATTGTTATTAGGCAGTTTTTTTTTATAGATAGGTATCCAACAGTCCCTTGGCCCACACCAGAGTTGTGTTCCCCCCCACTTCCCAACACAAATTTCCCAAACAACACTGATCTCCTGTGGTGAGATTAAACATAGCACACGCACAATGATTAATCAATGATTATTCTAAATCTGTTTATTCATCTGCAGATACTTTTGTTTTTCAACATTTTTACATTTTTATATGTGTATACCTATTTGCCAAAATACCCAACCATTGTAAAAGACATGTAATGCTTGGCATCTTCATGGAACCTGCCAGGTCAGCTGATCAAAGCCATGCTGGCCTTGTTCGAGAGAATCAAAACCATGACGTATCATGGATAAATTGTGACTGACTGATCTACAAATATTTATGATGCAAGGTGGCGGAGAGGAGACAAGGTCCATGCTGCACCGTCAGCAGCCGTAGAGCTTCCATAGGCTCCAGAGAGGGGGTATAATCCACATGGTAGTAGTTCACTGGATACCCCGGAGCCATACTCCACTGAACCGCCGGATTTGTGACTTTGCTGACATCACTACAGTATGGCGGCCCACAGTGCCCACCTGCAGTCCATCAAATGAACCAGCAGGGAAGGCTGTCAGGATACAGGTGAAGTTCCCAGCGTCAGTCATCTCCACATCTTTTATAGTGAAGGAGGGATCCTCTGTGGAAGCACCAGAGAACTCCACCCTCCCTTTTAGGCGCAAATCATAAATGTGTTGCCCAAAGGTAGGGCTAAAGTGAGCAATTGTACTTCAACATATTACAGATGTAGATGGGTTAAATATACTACAAAATATGTTGATGTGACAAATGATTTAGGCGTTACCAGTAAGTGCTGCCGATATCAAAGATAACTTTTGCTGCCTCCATCTCTCTTCCTACTAAAAAAAACAATCTATATGAATGAAAAGCAACACACAGATTGTAGGTTCCTGTTTCGTTTGTCTAATTTAAACAGACATTTCCCATTGGGATTAATTTCTTTATTGTTCAATTCATCCCGTGAGACAAAATAAGAAATATTTACAAGACCCTATAGTGATCAGAAACCTTGATAAATACAAAGTTCTCTGTACTCTTTTGTGATATTTTCATCCAATCCAACCCCACTCATTTAACACTCACGGTGCATGAGTTGTGTATAATATTATTCTAAATAAAGTGTGATGGGTCAAGCTTCTATGTATTACAACCAATTTCAAAGTCATTAACAAAATCTATACATGGAGCAGGGTTCAGTTCATGAGATGAATAAAAAATCTAATTCCATCATTTTATTGGAATTTCAGTTAATCTTCTGCATTCTATATAGTGCACTACTTTTGGCCAGAACCACGTAGGTAGTGGATTAGGAGTCAGCAAGCATAACAGGATCACTCAAACTTCCTCCTTTCAGAGGGGATACAATTTGTCCTTGTGTCTCAGTGTAGTGTTGACTGTTCTATATTACATTAAGAAATTAGGCATAGCTGGATGGCTGAGGTGTACAAAGACCAGTGTCTCATCAGAGGTGGAGGACAGTAGTGTTTAGTCTTCTTGGCTGGTCATCCAGTGGTTTGTTGTGCCCATGTTTACTTGATTAAGGTGTAAAACTTGATGGGTGAAGTCCAGAGCCAACTGAAGATATGTAATTGAGATCAGCTGTTCTCTGAGTCAGGGAGAGAGAGAGAGAGAGAGAGAGAGAGAGAGAGAGAGAGAGAGAGAGAGAGAGAGAGAGAGAGAGAGAGAGAGAGAGAGAGAGAGAGAGAGAGAGAGAGAGAGAGAGAGAGAGAGAGAGAGAGACCGAGAGAGAGAGAGAGAGAGAGAGAGAGATGGAGACCGAGGCACTATAAAACAAGTATAATCAAAGGTAATATCATAATGACGATGCAATAAAAAGTTCACTTACCACTTTATACTTTTATTGTATATGTTGGAGCCCTGTATTTCCGGGGTTAGTAAAGACAGAACGAGACACAGTGAGCACGTTTGTGTAAATCATCCATAGCTACTACTGTAGGTAGGATATTCATCAAAGATTGTGTATCAGAGAGTGCTCCTTTTCATTACAGCTATAACAAAATGCTTCAATACGGTAAGGTACCAGTAAGGTGCCAGAGGTGCAATACTACTTACAGTGTCAGTGTTGGTTTGTCTGGTAAGAAGTTTTCTCTGAGGGAGAACAGTAAAGGACTCAGTCAGTATGCTTACAGACCCGCAGTCTGTCACAATGCTGCCATCGCTGTAACTAACTCATACAGGACATGGTGGGAACCATAGATATACAATATCATAAGTGTTTTATTTAACTTTGTGGTGGAAACTCACTCTTGGAGGTGGTGTTGGAGCTCCAGTTTTCTTATTTCCTACACACTCATACTCGTTTACACCTGCAGAAGCTGGTGTAAACAAACAAACAAACAAAATAGCAGTTGATGAACTTGATAACGAGACAGATTGTTGTCAGCTCAGAAATGCTTGCTACACTCAATATGCAAACTTCTCTCTGACCTTTGGTTCCTGGTGTGTGGCTGGTGGCTACAGTATGGCTGGTGGCTGGTTGCGGTTGCTTGCGATCGTGGGTTCTGTCCTGGATTTGGGTGGTCAGTTCGTGCCCCTCACATCCTTTGTCAGAGCTGGACATGGACATATCCTCTGTCTGGGACAGTGTGTCTGTATCTGCTGGACATCACAGATGATAAAGGACAACTGTGGTTATCATCTGCAGCACAGAGAGGCTCTCCACTCTCATCTCAGTGCATGTATGAATGATATCTCCATACAGTAATTGATAAACGTGTACTAGACTAAAATGATCATGTTTTTCTCCCACCTTTCTGTTTGTTGTTCCCTTTGTTGTTCCTAAACAACATACAGAAAACATTTACATATGGGACATCTATTTACTGCCAAAATGGTCTGCAAAATATTTATACACAAAAATGACTTATTGGCGTAACCAATCACATTGGTTTCATAGACTCACCAATGATGGGTTATGCCGAAATAGAGACCAAGAGCCACAGCAACCACTACCAACATCACAGCGACTGCTATACCTGCTGCTCCCTCTGGGCTTAGGGGTGGAGGGGCTTTCTCTGCAATGCACCAACACAGGAACACATTCAATAAACAAAACACTACCTATAGAACAGATGCTGATGTGATGTTGCACGTTTTTGGCATTAGTTAGCTTCGATGGTCTACCTCTAATGGTGACTGTATCAGAGACCAGTACCTTTCACTGACAGACTATGGCCCATAGAGACGACGTGTCCGGTGAGATCATTCCTAATATCACATCGGTAGTCCCCGCTGTTGTTGTAGCTGACACTCTTTATGATGTATCCAGCTTCATGTACACCTGTCTGTTGCCCATTGAACAACCAGGTGAACGCAGCAGGCGGTACAGACTGAACAGAGCAGTAAATGAGGGTGGATGACTCCATCTCAGCGACATGTTCGCCCAGGATGATCATGGAGTCTGGTCCATCTGTAAGCCCAGGAGCAGAAGACCCTCAGACTGTAGTAGTAAACACAACATGTACAGATGTAGGATCTTAATTTGAGCCAGTTTGCTACAGCATGAAAATAATGAATTATTATGTGGTTTATAATTAATGGACATCTTCGTAGGGGTTGCTACATTTTTCATAAGGAAAATCAAGTCTGAAATTTCAAAATGGAAATTACAAACTTCAGAAGCCTTTTTAAACCTCAAATACACTACACATTTTACATTTCCTGCAATGCAGTAAAGTTATTCTGCAACAGGTTAATCAAATTGAGATCCTACAGCTGTATGATGAGGGCCTAGAGTTTTCCCTGACCACATGACCTGACCAGGAAATACGTGGGCTCTAAGAACTAGGCATTATGAGTGTAACATCTCATTGGGCAGTTTCCCAGACACAGATTAAAGGTGCACTATGCAGAAATCTCTCCACCATTTCCTGGTTGCTAAAATTCGAATAGTTTGCCTAATTTCAGTTTATGTGACAAAACAAGCAAGGATTGTGTAGAGAATCATTGAACCATCTAAACCGCTGTGAAATGTATTTTCCATAACCAAAAATATTGTATTTTCATCTGTTTTAAGCTGGTGTACAAAACCGAAAGTAAAAGACGCAAAAATGAAACTTAAGAACGGGAAACATAGAAATAGCGCACATAGAACATATCTACCAATTCTTAGACTTGCTTTCATTGAGAATGACAGATCAATAACTCACATTTCTATGTGAATTTGTTCGAGTCGCCCAAAATGTTACATATTGCAGCTTTAAGCCTAGTCTTTGATTTTAAAATACTTGGAAACGTGCTTGCTAGTTCAGGACTAGGCTTAATCTGTGTCTGAGAAACTGACCCATAGAGCATTAGATGAGTTATAGACCTTTACTCACAGTTCACTATCATGCTATAGTAGGCAGTAGCAGAGCTGACAGGGTTGATGAGTTTACACAGGTATTCTCCGCCGTCGTGTCTCTTCACAGGACTGATGGATACGTTCCTGTTTTCCTCTGAGAAGAATATATTGCCACCAGCAGACAGAGGCTGACCTTCCTTCATCCATTGTATAGCAGTGATGTTACCAGCTGCCTCACAGGTTAAGGTGGCAGAGCTCACATCTGCAAACAGATGGTTTGTTGGTCCTGTGATGTTGGCATCAGATACATTCTCTGTAAAACAAGAGGCCAAAGACTTATGATATATCAAAGACACTACAACGATGATGAGGATTTTAATGGTTTTGATGATGATGATGATGAGGATGATGATGATGATAAGGTCAAGTGAATATCTATTTCAAACTTTACTCATGGTAACTAAACTCTTAAAGCTAGAATCCTGACTTTTAAATTGATGATATATACCCATTGATTCTTGAAGACTGTAACTTCCCACTGGGCACACACTGGTTGAATTAATGTTGTTTCCACCCGAAATTACTTTGAACCAACGTGGAATAGACTTTGAATTGACGTCAGTGCCTCATAATCTTAGTTCAACAGTTATATCCCATCAGAACCCAAAATATAAGCTTGTTTTACTCCAATGTTTGTAAATAATATAAATGTAAACGAACACTGTATAGCCTCAAAACATGGTTAAAACTATAATGTTGATATCATGGATGGTCAGTCCTTGAATCCATAGCTCTGTCTATGAATGTGAGAGTGGTCCCATTTCACCAGGCCCATATCTCAGCTTTTACCAAACTGAAGTGGGATGACCACTTTGTTATTGTTTCAGTTAAGGATTTTAGCTTTAACTCTCTTTGTCATGACACTTGGACTTACCATACACAACCAGTTTAGTTGATCCATTGATTGTTTCTGCTGTAGCTGTTGTTATAGCCAGTCTGTATTCTCCACTGTCAGCCAGGGTCAGATTCCTGAGCTCCAGAGACCAAGTAGTTTTGTTCAGAGTGATCCTGTCTCCGTATCCAGGCCCTATAGCGTCAGAACCGGTAGAGGTTATAATATTGGCTACACCAACACTCCAGGATATTTTTATGAACGGCTGGGCTGGTGGACTTAGATTTGTAATGAACATCACTGTCCCTCCTTCTGCTCCATTCACAGGGCCTTGTGGTAACACACCCTGACCGGCACAGAGACCTGGAGGGAATACAGGGCGGCAGAGAGCATGGCCTTAGACAACATACTGTACATGTAGGTACACACTGTCCACTCAAACGTTCCATCATTCAGGACCGTTCTAAATGGCTGACTCAGTAGGCCCAGTAACAATCACTCAGCAGTAATAGTCAAACATAGCTAGTTATACATAAACACAACACAGACAGACTGTCTTGCACAAAAAGGGGTGTAGCCAACATTTGTAGTTCAAACACAGGAGAATAGGACGTGGAATCAACATTTTAATAATTTCACGTGGTGTCTGACAAATACATGAATAAGTCAACAGAATAAGGCATGGTCACTGACAGAGTTTTCTCCCCTGCTTTGGTAATCAGTGTAATTACTGTACTCTACTGTACATAGCTATAGTACAATAGTACAATTTAATTTCAATGAAAGGAAACTGTAGATGTATGAAATTAGCAACGAGTGTAGTTATTGTGCAGTTAGGGCTACGTGCAATTAAGAGGGGGGAAGGAACACCATTCAATGTAACTACACTGTAAATGTACAACTCAAAGAGCTGTAAAGCATGGCCTAGGTAACAACAAGAGGTTTAAAGAGACAAAGAAGATATCTGCTTTACCTGTGAGTATGGACAGAGTGAGAGAGATGGCTACTGTAGTTTCCATTGCTGTTGGAATACTTTATTCTGTTACAGATTTAGAGAGCGCTTCTAGTACACTCACAGTATGATGCTATAAAATAGGCTGAGGTATGATCTTTTAGAGCCGCCAGCCAGGTGACAAGGAAGTTCCCCATTTACCATAAGCCACATTGCAGTGACCTTTGTATCGGTTCAGGTAATGGCCCTGTAATGTTGTTATTTTGATACATATATTTATGGTTTACTGTACATGAAGGACAGGATTACGGTAAACTGGATAATGATCTGCATGGCACGAGAACACACACCTTTTCCTAACATCGTCATTCATGAATGTGATCCGCCATTCAGGATTGGGCCTTGCTGTGTGTCACGCCCTGGCTCTGGGACTCTGTTATGTTGAGCCAGGGTGGGTTTTTTCTACAGTGGGGATAACAAGTATTTGATACACTGCCGATTTTGCAGGTTTTCCTACTTACAAAGCATGTAGAGGTCTGTAATTTTTATCATAGGTACACTTCAACTGTGAGAGACGGAATCTAAAACAAAAATCCAGAAAATCACTTTGTATGATTTTTAAGTAATTCATTTGCATTTTATTGCATGAAATAAGTATTTGATACATCAGAAAAGCAGAACTTAATATTTGGTACAGAAATCTTTGTTTCCAATGACAGAGATCATACGTTTCCTGTAGGTCTTGACCAGGTTTGCACACACTGCAGCAGGGATTTTGGCCCACTCCTCCATACAGACCTTCTCCAGATCCTTCAGGTTTCGGGGCTGTCGCCGGGCAATACAGACTTTCAGCTCCCTCCAAAGATTTTCTATTGGGTTCAGGTCTGGAGACTGGCTAGGCCACTCCAGGACGTTGAGATGCTTCTTACGGAGCCACTCCTTACTTGCCCTGGCTGTGTGTTTTGGGTCGTTGTCATGCTGGAAGACCCAGCCACAACCCATCTTCAATCCTCTTACTGAGGGAAGGAGGTTGTTGGCCAAGATCTCGCGATACATGGCCCCATCCAACCTCCCCTCAATACGGTGCAGTCGTCCTGTCCCCTTTGCAGAAAAGCATCCCCAAAGAATGATGTTTCCACCTCCCTGCTTCACGGTTGGGATGGTGTTCTTGGGGTTGTACTCATCCTTCTTCTTCCTCCAAACACGGCGAGTGGAGTTTAGACCAAAAAGCTCTATTTTTGTCTCATCAGACCACATGACTTTCTCCCATTCCTCGTCTGGATCATCCAGATGGTCATTGGCAAACTTCAGACGGGCCTGGACATGCCCTGGCTTGAGCAGGGGGACCTTGCGTGCGCTGCAGGATTTTAATCGATGACGGCGTAGTGTGTTACTAATGGTTTTCTTTGAGACTGTGGTACCAGCTCTCTTCAGGTCGTTGACCAGGTCCTGCCGTGTAGTTCTGGGCTGATCCCTCACCTTCCTCATGATCATTGATGCCCCACGAGGTGAGATCTTACATGGAGCCCCAGACCGAGGGTGATTGACCGTCATCTTGAACTTCTTTCATTTTCTAATAATTGCGCCAACAGTTGTTGCCTTCTCACCAAGCTGCTTGCCTATTGTCCTGTAGCCCATCCCAGCCTTGTGCAGGTTTACAATTGTATCCCTGTTGTCCTTACACAGCTCTCTGGTCTTGGCCATTGTGGAGAGGTTGGAGTCTGTTTGATTGAGTGTGTGGACAGGTGTCTTTTATATAGGTAACGAGTTCAAACAGGTGCAGTTAATACAGGTAATGAGTGGAGAACAGGAGGGCTTCTTAAAGAAAAACTAACAGGTCTGTGAGAGCCGGAATTCTTACTGGATGGTAGGTGATCAAATACTTATGTCATGCAATAAAATGCAAATTAATTACTTAAAAATCATACAATGTCATTTTCTGGATTTTTGTTTTAGATTCCTTCTCTCACAGTTGAAGTGTACCTATGATAAAAATTACAGACCTCTACATGCTTTGTATGTAGGAAAACCTGAAAAATTGGCAGTGTATCAAATACTTGTTCTCCCCACTGTATGTGTTTTGTGTGCTAGGTTGTTTATCTAGTTCATTTGTTTCTATGTTGGCCGGTGTGGTTCTCAATCAGAGGCAACGTGAATCAGCTGTTGCTTGTTGTCTCTGATTGGGGACCATACTTAGGTAGCCTGTTTTGCCACAGTGTTTGTGGGATTTTGTTCCGTGTTGGTTTTGTATTGTAACCAAGGACTTCACGTTATCGTTTTGTTTCGTGTGGAATAAACTCATCACGCTGCGCATTGGTCCACTCATCACGCTGCGCATTGGTCCACTGTGTTCGACGATCGTGACAGAAGATCCCACCATAACTGGACCAAGCAGCGTGTCCAGGAGCCAACGCCAGAGAGGACTCTAATGAATATCAACCTCGACTGGGTCAAGCAGCGTGAGGAGGAGAGAGGCTGGACTTTGGAGCAGAGGAGCGATAGAGTGGTTCAGCGGGTTGGCAAAGGAGGCCGCCAGGTTACGGGAGTCACTGGTCACCAGGGGGAAGGAGAATGTAGAGGCACGGCGAGAGGTACTGGGGTGTGTTGCCAGTCCGGTCCGGCCCGTTCCTGATCCCCGCGTAGGGCCAGTGGTGTGTGTCCCCAGCCAGGTCCGGCATGTTCCTGCCCCTCGCACCAAGCCTGTGGTGCGCGTCGCCAGCCCGGTCCGGCCTGTTTCTGCCCCTCGCACCAAGCCAGTGGTGCGCGTCGCCAGCCCGGTCCGGCCCGTTCCTGCTTCCCGCACCAAGCCAGTGGTGCGCGTCGTCAGCCCGTTTTGGTCCGTTCCTGCTCCCCGCACCAAGCCAGTGGTGCGCTTCATCAGCCCGGTTTGGCCCGTCCCTGCTCCCCGCACCAAGCCTGTGGTGCGCGTCATCAGCCCGGTCCAGCCTGTTCCTGCTCCCCGCACCAAGCCAGTGGTGCGCTTCGTCAGCCCGGTTCGGCCCGTCCCTGCTCCCCGCACCAAGCCAATGGTGCGCGTCGTCAGCCCGGTCCGGCCTGTTCCTGCTCCCCGCACCAAGCCTGTGGTGCGCGTCGTCAGTCCGGCACAGCCCGTGCCTGGGTCACCGGTGCCTGGTCAGGTACCGGTTAGCTGCTCCACATCGGAGCCTGAGCGATCCGCTCCACCGATGTCCAGTCCAGATCCAGCCAGCAGGGCCAGACCAGACCAGGGGCGCTATGGGGGGTTTGTTGGAGGGTGGGGGTCAAGCCCGGAGCCGGAACCGCCTCCGAGGAGGAATGCCCACCCGGCCCTCCCCTGTTCGGTTTATGTTTGGCGCGGTCGCAGTCCGCGCCTTTGGGGGGGGGGGGGTACTGTCACGCCCTGGCTCTGGGACTCTGTTATGTTGAGCCAGGGTGGGTTGTTTCTATGTGTTTTGTGTGCTAGGTTGTTTATCTAGTTCATTTGTTTCTATGTTGGCCGGTGTGGTTCTCAATCAGAGGCAACGTGAATCAGCTGTTGCTTGTTGTCTCTGATTGGGGAACCATACTTAGGTAGCCTGTTTTGCCACAGTGTTTGTGGGATCTTGTTCCGTGTTGGTTTTGTATTGTAACCAAGGACTTCACGTTATCGTTTTGTTTCGTGTGGAATAAAATAAGTATGTTCACTCATCACGCTGCGCATTGGTCCACTGTGTTCGACGATCGTGACACTGTGGACCATGATGCGGAGTGAACTTAGGACACAAACACTCAGGGAGACAAGGATGAGGACCAAAACTACAGCTTTTAATGAGTCCAATAAACAGGCTTTTGTTTAGTCGGCAACCCAAACATGAACTTTAACTACAAACAAGTTGTGGCTCTTATACCTTTATTCAGTCTTTACCTGGACAGCCACACCCTCAATTAGGCAATTACTCACATTTGTTAGACTATGTTACGTTTTTGGTAACATTTCCCTTTATTATAAATACACCGAACTAAAATAGAAACGCAACATGCAACAAACAAAGATTTCACTGAGTTACAGTTCATATAAGGAAATCAGTCAATTGAAATAAATAAATTAGGCCCTAATCTATGGATTTCACATGACTGGGAATACAGATATGCATCTGTTGGTCATAGATACCTTTAAAAAAAAAGTAGGGGCGTGGATCAGAAAACCAGTCAGTATCTGGTGTGACCACCATTTGCCTCATGCAGCGCTACACATCTCCTTCGCATAGAGTTGATCAGGCTGTTGATTGTGGAATGTTTCCCCACTCCTCTTCAATGGCTGTGCGAAGTTGCTGGATATTGGCGGGAACTGGAACACGCTGTCGTACACGTCGATCCAGAGCATCCTAAACATGCTCAATGGGTAACATGTCTGGTGAGTATGCAGGCCATGGGAGAACTGGGACATTTTCAACTTCCAGGAATTAAGTACAGATCCTTGCGACATGGGGCCGTGCATTTTCATGCTGAAACATGAGGTGATGGCATTGGATGAATGGCATGACAATGGGCCTCAGGATCTCGTCACTGTATCTCTGTGCATTCAAATTGCCATCAATAAAATGCAATTGTGTTCATTGTCCATAGCTTATGCCTGCCCATACCATAACCCCACCGCTATCATGGGGCACTCTGTTCACAACATTGACATCAGCAAACCGCTCACCCACACGATGCCATCTGCCCGGTACAGTTGAAACCGGGATTCATCCGTGAAGAGCACACTTCTCCAGCGTGCCAGTGGCCATCGAAGGTGAGCATTTGCCCACTGAAGCCGGTTACAACGCCAAACTGCAGTCAGTTCAAGACCCTGGTGAGGACAGCGAGCACTCAGATGAGCTTCCCTGAGACAGTTTCTGACAGTTTAGTCCTGGGCTGGGGTGGTTACACGTGGTCTGCGGTTGTGAGGCCTGTTGGATGTACTGCCAAATTCTCAAAAGTTCTCTAAAGTGGCTTATGGTAGAGAAATGAACATTCAATTCTCTGGCAATAGCTCTGGTGGACATTCCTGCAGTCAGCATGCCAATTGCAGGCTCCCTCAAAACTTGAGACATTTGTGACATTGTGTTGTGTGAAAAAATTGCACATTTTATTGTCCCCAGCACAAGGCGCACCTGTGCAATGATGATGCTGTTTAATCAGCTTCTTGATATGCCACACCTGTCAGGTGGATGGATTATCTTTGGAAAGGAGAAATGCTCACTAACATGGATGTAAGCAAATTTGTGCAAAAAAATGAGATAAATAAACTTTTTGTGCATATGGAAAATTCCTGGGATTCTTTTATTTCAGCTCATGAAACACTGGACCAACAGTTTACATGATGCATTTATATTTTTTTGCTCAGGGTACATGAATCTTTCATGACATGTACCATGGATTACTTGTATTCATTTATTTTAAAAAATAAAAAATATATTTGATTTAAAGCCCAGGTAATATTACAGTTTGACAGGCTAAAGTACATATCTCTACGTTTTAAAACTACGGACAGGTTTGATTCTATACAACATCTTCTTGCCGAGCAGATTCCTAATCAAGATTGTCCTTAATCAGCAAAGAGGCTCTGGGGTTGACCAACCTACAGAAACATTTACAACGAAACATGTTTTACACAGAGTAACCAACACAAAATCATGGCCATTATTATATATATAAAAAATAAGCTATTTTTATAGAATTGTTTTTCATTATCAATGAATTCATGAAATAATATTACATAAATAAATGTAAGACTTATAATAAAAAAGTAACAAATATTTAAAGATACATACATTAAAACATACAGTACTTAGCATATTTATGACAGCATACATCACATTCATCCTCACCCTTCACCAGCCCCTCCTTGTCCCTCTCTCTCCTCCCAGACATCTACAGTTGCAGCAGTCCCACTGCCAGAACACTGGTCACCATCAAAGCAAATGACCAAATGGGGGCAGCAGAGGAGGCTGTAGAGGAGAACAAGTCATATCACCTGCTTTGGTATGAAGTCAGGTCAGTGCAGTGATCTCAGGGATTACAATGAAAATGAAATTCCAGAGGAGTGTAAGGCTCGAATATACACTTTATATTTACACAAATTAGAGTGACTGGAATATCAGGTTATTATCCAGGCTCAGAATATGGAAGACAAATTTAAGGTACAATTACAAGTCACAAAGTTCTAGCTGTGTTACTTTACACAATAAAGTTGTGTAACTTATTGTGTTAACTTATATGTGTTATGAACTTAATTGTGGATACACTTTGTCACGAATCCTAACTGCAACTTCAAGCTGTAACTAACCTCTCAGCTTGTAGACCACAGAGTCTTTCAGTCCGGTGATGTTGTTGGTGGCAGTGCAGGTGTAGTTCCCAATGTGTAGCGCCTCCATCCTCTCTATGACGTACAGGGTGTTGTTAACACCCATCTCTGTCCTGTTGAACATCCAGGTGAAGGTAGCACGAGGAATAGAGTCAGCTGAACAGCTCAGAGTTACCCTGCGTCCCGTTGATGCTGCTGATGGTCCATCTATTGATATGTTCTGGGGTCCAACTGCAACATGGTCAAATCAAATAATCATCAATGCTACATCAACAAAAATATGTATTCCGTGGGTCTATACACTATTGAACAGCAAAGGCAAGACTTTGTTTTGTTTTTTTCAACGGCAACATCCAGTGAGTTGGTAATTGACATAAGGTTGCCAAGCACAATCACAATCACTCCTGGAATTAGGATCTAGTAAGCAGTACTCACAGTTGACGGTCAGGTTGTGGGATGCTGTCCAGTTGCTGACACGGTTGCTGACTAAACACTCATATTCTCCGTTGTCAATGACCTGTACAGGACTGAGATAGACTGTCCTGTTGTCTGCAGAGAAGGTGATATTGTTACTGGGAGACAGAGGGAGGCCATCTTTGATCCACTGTATGGAGCTGATGTTGCCAGCAGCCTCACAGGTTAGGTTGGTGGAGCTTATGCCAGCTATCAGGGTGGCTGGGGGGCAAGTGATGGTGGCAGCAGATAACAACACTGTAAAGAGGTTAACAGTATGGGGAGCGTAAGAGGTACAGTCCATTTGAATAATCTGTCTTAATGTATACAACTTTCATATTCATAGCTGATAAAAATGCCCTGCTGAGTCTGGAGATATGGTGATGTGACTGCCATCAATATATAACTCTGACCCACCATAGACATCCAGAGTGGTAGCTCCTTGTAGCTCCAGCGCCCCGTCTGGTATGATGCTGACTCTGTACTCCCCTTGGTCCCTCAGGCCCAGGTTCCACAGCTCCAGAGAGCCAGTGGTTCTGTCCAGACTGATCCGCTCTTTGTGGTCAGCATTAGTTATGTTGACCGTAGTGGAGGTGATGATGTTGACCCTGTTGAAGGTCCAGCTCACTGAGACAAAAGGTTTGGCTGGTGGACTGAGGGTTGTGGTGAACTTCACTCTCCCTCCTATGGCTCCAGTCAATGGTCCTGGCGGTAACACACTCTGACCTGCACACAGACCTGGACAGGACAGAGGGTAACGAAATGTAGTAATGTACACATAAGACATAACAATACATGAAAATAAAAACAATAAATTGAAAGAAATAAAATTCATTTTTTTTAGGTAAATGGGCTTATGTAAAAACCTTGCTTGTGAAATACACAAAAAATTTTTTTTATTTCTACGTTTTATATAGCTATAGCTAGTTAAATAGTTCCAGAAGGAGGTAACCTATTTGAATAACAACCTTCAAAACCCATTATGTTCTGCATGTTAATTGTAGCAATAGGCATACCTGATGTTAGAAGCACAACGGCTGCTGTGAAAAGTGTATAGTCCATGGTGAAGGATGGCTCTGTCTAATGGAAGTACCTGTAATGTTGACCAGACCATGTCCCTACTCCTTTTATATTCCTATACATCTCTGATTGTCCCTTCTGAAGACAAGGCCTAGCCCCCCACTCTGTGACACAGAACATAAACTAGCTTTATGATATAGCTGTGTACACACATTACAATGCCCTCAGGGCATTTCCACTCTAAGAGGTTATTGGAGGTCACGTTGATAAGTGGAAAATAACAACCAATAGCTTTGTAGAGACTTCCTCTTTAGGTCTTTATCTGTACCATCTACCTTTCAGACAATAGCCTATTCCTTGGATGATTAATTCTGCTTCCTATTGGCTACGGTCTATTGGAGTGATCAATGGAGGCTTCAATAATTGAATTAACTCAATAAAGCCTTAAAATGGAACCAGATTAAATTAACCCTTCTGCTTCTTATTGCAGTGCACTGCCTACTAACTATAGATATAATGATCAAAGAGTAGAGGTGGTGAATATCAAGAAGATACTTGATAAAATCCTAAAATGCGACATTCTGTCCATAATGGAAATAGTATTCATTATTTAGATACAGGTTAAAGGTCCAATGCAGTCGTTTTTACCTCAATATCAAATATTTACTGGGTAACAGTTGGGTATCTTACTTTGATTGTTTAAATTAAAATGGTCAAAATAAACAAAAAATAGCTTCATAGCAAAGAGCAATTTCTCAAACAAGAATTTTGCTAGGACTGTCTCGGATTGGTCTGAGTGGGGAGGGGAAAACTGAAAACTAGCTGTTATTGGCAGAGAGGTTTGGAACTCTCTTTCTTATTGGTCTATTAACTAATTTACCTCCTGGTGATATCACCAGGCAGGCCAAAACTCGATCCCACCCAAACAGGCTGAATTTTCAGGCAATCTTTTCAAACAGCTCTTACACTAAAAGGGATTTATCATCAATTTCACAGTATTATTCCAACCTCATAGTGTGGCAATATACACTGAGTGTACAAACATTAGGAACACCTTCCTAATATTGAGTTGCACCCCCTTTTGCCCTCAAAACAGACTAAATTCGTTGGGACGTGGACTCTACAAGGTGTCGAAAGCGTTCCACAGGGATGCTTGCCTATGCTGACTCCAATGCTTCCCACAGTTGTGTCAAGTTAGCTGGATGTCCTTTGGGTGGTGGACCATTCTTGATACACACAGAAAACAGTTGAGTGTGAAAACCAAGCAGCATTGAGGTCTTGACACACTCAAACCGGTGCGCCTGGCTCTACTACCATACCCTGTTCAAAGCCACTTAAATATTTTGTCTTGCCCATTCACCCTCTGAATGGCACACATACACAATCCATGTCTCAACTGTTTCAAGGCTTAACAAATATTCTTTAACCTGTCTCCTCCACTTCATCTACACTGATTGAAGTGGATTTAACAAGTGACATCAATAAGGGATCATAGCTTTCACCTGGATTCACCTGCTCAGTCTATGTCCTGGAAAGAGTTCCTAATGTTTAGTACACTCAGCATATATAAAACACAGGAAAATCACATTTTTGACTGCAATGGGCCTTTAAACACATTTCAGTCAAGATTTACCTACGCCAGTGATTCATACAACAGAAGTGGTCTGTTCATCAGGTATATGAGGTTTTGTTTGGGAGTTGTGTTTGAGCAGGGTCAGTCAGGTGATGCATTCCAACGCAAGGAGGATCAAAGACACTAGACTAGTGGTAATGCAAGGGGTCAGGTGACACAATAAGGAACTAATTAAAATCCTCATCAAACAACCGAGAAAAACTCCACTGATTTATTAAGGAGACACTTGTCTGTCTCTATTGGACGACCATGAAAACCAGCCAGTTTTGGGCAAAACTTGTCAGTATGTCTGAAAACCACAAAACAATGTTGATGGTAGGATCCCTTAAGAGAGTACTGAAACTGATTTAGATTTTTTTGACACAATAATCCAAAACGTAGATACTGTATGACAAAGTTTACCTTAAATGCTTAACGCGTGCCTTGTGGTCACTCAAAACATGCACGATTGTACATACTGTAGGTATCCTATACAACACGTGTGATTGTACATAGGTACAAAACATGTGTGATTGTATATACAGTAGAAATGCACAATTCCACATTGTCTTAATTGTCCAGGTAACCTGTGTCAGCTGGCTCTCTAATTTCTGACATGGGTTTATGTGGGAGCTTGGCGCCACACTGACGTCACTATACATACACACCTCAGAGTAGCTGTACTGAAACTGGCCACACCAAGTCAACACATATAGCTTTATAGACAGGAAGCATGGGGCCAGAGAACTCTATGTCTAATGGGACTGGCCAACAAAACCTTTATTTTAGTGCCCCTTCCTTAAACACACACACACACACACACACACACACACACACACACCGGCAACTTCAGACAATGAGTTCAATGTGGCTAAATCCTTTGTATGGAAGTGTGTTTGTGTAAAGACAGTAGTGTATCTGGCCAAGCTTCTTCCATTTGCAGTCTTTTCATTCTCATCATTATGAGGTTTGAATTTAATATGTGGCTGTTTTCCAACCTTATTAATGTGATAACAGTGTAGATAACGGAACTGAATAGGAGGTAAATCTTGAAACAACAGTACAAGGTTTACTGTACATCTTGGTACGTTCCCCCAGGGCAGTTCCACCTCAAAATGCCTCTTTGACCCCTCTCTGACCCCTGTCATACTCCCTCCTGGCCAGTGGACGAGGCATTGTCTGATGACTGATTGAAGTTAATCATCTACAGTACGAGTTGATCTGGTTTATTAGGGTCAATATGTCATAATGTTAGCGTATCTATGCTGTTGCTTCTGTCTGTGTATGACTATTTTGTGTTTTGTTTTGGGTGGACCCCAGGAAGAGTAGCTGGTTGGGATACGAGGTCGATATACATAGATTATGAATTACTTATAACCCCTTTAAAAACGTTTTAAGTATGCCTGAATGTAAAATTTATCGTTTATTTCTCTGCTTAAACTGTGAACCCAGTTAGCCATTGTGAACGGAGCCCTATGCTGAGTCCTGAGTGCAGAGGAGATCTGAAGCCACTAGAGGGTGATCTGCTCCTAGTCCATCATGGTGGGACCAAAGGTCCTCTATGTGTCTCAAAGTGCAGATCAGTGACGTGTGAAAAAATAGACTGTTAAGAGGCAATAACACCTACATTATGGTTGATAAAGGGGTTCATGTGTAGTGTCTGGGGAAAGGGCAAACACTTTGAGTTGTATATGGGTCTGACAACTAAAGTTTGTGCGACAGTCTGGTCATACCTCAGTCTTCTATTGATAAAGGCAGACCCTCTCCGAGGGTCTCAGGGAGAGTTGAGATATGCAAAAAGCACATTTCCAATTCACATATGCGTATCAATACACACTTGAAATAGAACAAATATAAGCACCCACCAAATTATGTATTATTATTTATTGCTGGTCTGACTCAAAAGACACAGTTGATCAAAAAATAGAAGGTAAACTTTATGAATTGTTATTTATTTTTAACTTCATTATTAACAGAATTCGAGTACTCTAACTGCTGTACCCTTTATACTCCCACTTTACAGGTTCCTTTCCACTTTCCTTCTCTTGCTGTTACAGTAGATTTAAGGGGAAGTATAAAATAAAATAATATTGGCTTTTATACTTGAGCAACGATACAGCATAAAGACCATATTTATAAGGCAACAGCTACAACAGTTGTAAAAACAAAATATAAAAACAAAGATAAACCTTTGAGTATTAAATGTAAAAACATAGATACACCTACAGTACATTTATATGAAATATATTACATATACACTGCTCAAAAGGGAACACTAAAATAACACATCCTAGATCTGAATGAATTAAATAATCTTATTAAATACTTTTTTCTTTACATAGTTGAATGTGCTGACAACAAAATCACACAAAAATGATCAATGGAAATCAAATGTATCAACCCCTGGAGGTCTGGATTTGGAGTCACCCTCAAAATTAAAGTGGAAAACCACGCTACAGGCTGATCCAACTTTGATGTAATGTCCTTAAAACAAGTCAAAATGAGGCTCAGTAGTGTGTGTGGCCTCCACGTGCCTGTATGACCTCCCTACAACGCCTGGGCATGCTCCTGATGAGGTGGCGGATGGTCTCCTGAGGGATCTCCTCCCAGACCTGGACTAAAGCATCCGCCAACTCCTGGACAGTCTGTGGTGCAACGTGGCGTTGGTGGATGGAGCGAGACATGATGTCCCAGATGTGCTCAATTGGATTCAGGTCTGGGGAACGGGCGGTCCATAGCATCAATGCCTTCCTCTTGCAGGAACTGCTGACACACTCCAGCCACATGAGGTCTAGCATTGTCTTGCATTAGGAGGAACCCAGGGCCAACCGCACCAGCATATGGTCTCACAAGGGGTCTGAGGATCTCATCTCGGTACCTAATGGCAGTCAGGCTACCTCTGGCGAGCACATGGAGGGCTGTGCGGCCCCCCAAAGAAATGCCACCCCACACCATGACTGACCCACAGCCAAACCGGTCATGCTGGAGGATGTTGCAGGCAGCAGAACGTTCTCCACGGCGTCTCCAGACTCTGTCACGTCTGTCACATGTGCTCAGTGTGAACCTGCTTTCATCTGTGAAGAGCACAGGGCGCCAGTGGCGAATTTGCCAATCTTGGTGTTCTCTGGCAAATGCCAAACGTCCTGCACGGTGTTGGGCTGTAAGCACAACCCCCACCTGTAGACGTCGGGCCCTCATACCACCCTCATGGAGTCTGTTTCTGACCGTTTGAGCAGACACATGTACATTTGTGGCCTGCTGGAGGTCATTTTGCAGGGCTCTGGCAGTTATCCTCCTGCTCCTCCTTGCACAAAGGCGGAGGTAGCAGTCCTGCTGATGGGTTGTTGCCCTCCTACGGCCTCCTCCACGTCTCCTGATGTACTGGCCTGTCTCCTGGTAGCGCCTCCATGCTCTGGACACTACACTGACAGAGACAGCAAACCTTCTTGCCACAGCTCGCATTGATGTGCCATCCTGGATGAGCTGCACTACCTGAGCCACTTGTGTGGGTTGTAGACTCCGTCTCATGCTACCACTAGAGTGTAAGCACCGCCAGCATTCAAAAGTGACCAAAACATCAGCCAGGAAGCATAGGAACTGAGAAGTGGTCTGTGGTCACCACCTGCAAAACCAGTCCTTTATTGGCGGTGTCTTGCTAATTGCCTATAATTTCCACCTGTTTTCTATTCCATTTGCACAACAGCATGTGAAATGTATTGTCAATCAGTGTTGCTTCCTAAGTGGACAGTTTGATTTCACAGAAGTGTGATTGACTTGGAGTTACATTGTGTTGTTTAAGTGTTCCCTTTATTTTTTTGAGCAGTGTAGATAAGATAAATATAGATAGACATAGTTGAATGTTCATAACTTTAATATAACTCACCGTCGGGTAGTGTCTGGCCTGTTCTCATACAGGTCTACTGGAGAGCCCATACACTACACAGCTGAAAGAAGGTTCAGGATGGCAACTTGATGTTATACAATACAATTTTAAAAGACTAAAATTGACAAAATATGAACATATGAAAAGTTCTAGGTTTCACCACTTTTTCTTGATGATGAAGACTGCCCCACCAATTGCCCCTCCCCAAACAGCAACCCTCCAATCACAATCTCAGCAATGGCACCAGCAGACAGTTTACCTGGTGGTACATTCCCCTTCGCTGCAGATACCAGGGAGAGAAACAGAGATGACAGAAAGACTACACATACTAACCAAGAAATGTTGAAGTGTTGCAAGATTGTTCATTCATAATCACTCATACTATTTATTCTGTGCTTGTTTGATTTGAATACAAAAGGAGTGAAAACATTGTATGGACATCATAACATGCTTATAAAAGTATCTTTATTAAGCCTCAGCAGAGCTGACTGGGTAGGTGAGTTTACACTGGTATTTTCCAGTGTCACCTTTATTCACAGGATTGATAAATGCTGTCTTCTTATCCTCAGAGATGGTTATGTTGCCACCAGCAGACAGATGCTGAACATCCTTCATCCACTCTCTGGTGATGTTGAACCAGAAGCATCACAGGTTAAGGTTACAGAACTCCCCTCGATGATTGGAGGGTTTGGGGAAGTAGTGATGATAGCACCAGATATTGATTCTGTGAAAGGAGTTCAAAGAAAGCTTACTGTACATGGACCAGAGACCCAACATCCCAGTTCAGCTGTGACCCCTTAAGATCTGTGAAACCCTAAGAGCCAGTCTCTCTATTTCCTCCCATGTCTCCATCTCCTCTCTACCACTTACCCAGCACAGTGATGTCAGAGAACTCAGATATCTGGTACCTCAGGGTTCTGGTATTATGGGCCCAGCAGCTGTAGCTACCACTCTGATTGCCATGGATGTTCTCCAGCCAGAGTTCTGGTCCTATATTGGACAGCAGTGTTCTATTCAGAGCCCACTGAAACTGGGCAAGAGGACTGGACTCAGCTGAGCAGGACAGAGTGAGGTCTGACCCTGATCCATAAAGTACATCTAGAGGGGTCACCTTCATTGTTGTGTTTTCTGGACCATCTGCAACATATTTGAAAACCACTGTAAGCCAAGTAAAACAGTGTCCAATCAATGTCATAGTCAAGACCAACAGGCAAAAGTCAACCAGCTAGAGTGGTCAACAAGTGTAGGTCATAGAGCCAGTAGAATATACATGAGGATTATCTGCAAAGCCAAAAATAACAAGTAATGAGATAAAACATACAGATCCATACAGTTTGTTAATGAAAATGGACTCACAGCTGATGGTGAGGGTTAGAGGCTGGCTGGTTCCATTACTGACGGGGTTGAACACATTACAGCTAAACGGCCTATCGTTGTATCACATCACATTGACTATGGGGAGAGTGCTGTTCCCATCACCAAACTGAACTCCATCACTGGCTGTGACTTCAGAGCTGCCATTCAGCCAGCGGTAAGTGAAGGGGGAGGAGCCAGAGAAGGAGCAGGACAGACTGACAGAGCTGTTGAATTCCACTAAGTCTGTGTTGTTGGGAGTCATCACCACATTGGATACTGGCTCTGTGGGTTAAAAACAGAATAACTACTTTCTCTTTTGCTTAGATGACAACTTCTGAAGAATGTACCACTTCTGAACACCTTGTTTCATCATACACTACTAACTAAAATACATGAGATCATTAGAAACACATGAAGTAAAGAAATGCACTGTGCCCAGACAACTGACTGCATTTAGAAACAGCTATCTATTTTTATTTGCTAATTGTCTTACTTTATAACTCTGCACTGTTGGGAAAGGGCTCGTAAGTAAGCTTTTCACGGTAAAGTCTACACCTATTGTGTTAGGAGCATGTGGCAAATAAACATTTATTTGATTTGAAAATATACTAGATCTGAATCAGAGGTGCTGCAACAATAGTACTCACCATACACCTCCAGTCTTGTTTCCCCACTCAACATTGATCCTTCTTTAAGACAAAGGGATACTTTGTATTTTGCACCGTCCCACGGGGCCAGGTCCCTGAGCTCCAGGGATCCAGTGGTTCTGTCCAGAGTGATCCTGACTTCAGACTAGGGGTCGTCTGGTAACACACCTAATCCATAACAAGACCCTGGAGAGACAACAATAGAACATATTTGGGTATCTCTTCATAATGTATATTACATGCACATGACAGGAGTGATCCTGTCATTGTATCCCAGTTCAATTATGTCAGAGGACAGGTTATTAAATTGGTACCATTAACTTTCAAGATTACTGATGTAAATGGATGAAATGTGGTTTACATTCTCTAATACAGCTGAACGTACAGCTTCAGAGGGAAACATGTTGGCTTGCCTGAATGATGACAATGATAAATAACTTATTGAGTGTCCATTTTACAATTTGACTCAAACAGCAGTCCATAAAGTAAGTCAATTAAAAGATTACAGAAGCAAATTGTAAGATCACGCTTATCAATAGTTGAACAGGAAACTCCTAGAAGACTTAGATGACTGCCCTCCTTATGAAGACACATCAATGTCCCTCTTTGACTTCCTTCTCTTTGTAATTTGCTGAGAACAGCAGGTAAAAACTCAGCTGAGAGTACTGCCATGGTGAAAACGATTACTGCAGCTGCTTTCATGCCTTCTCATGTGTCAAGTGTCGGAAAAAAGGCTGAATCTGCCCATAGTTTACTACGGCGGGGCCAAGGTCCTCTGTGTGTTGGAGTGTCGTTCAGTATAGGGACTCATAAAGAGTTGGGTTATTTGATGACCATAACCCATGCCATAATCACTCTATGATCACTTAGAACCAACACCCAGCTTTGTAGGAATTTATAATACTGAGGGTCAGTAGGTAATATCACATATCCACATGATGATTGGCAACACAGGATTAGTCATATCAGAAGAAGCTGGATATCTGAAACCAAAAACATGAATAGTTTAGGAGCCTCATACATCTACATTGTCAGAATTGTAGGTATTTATGACTATAAAGTGTTGATAATATATTAATATTTATTGTAATATGGAATTGTATAACTAAAGTACACTGAACAAAAATATAAAAGCAATATGCAACAATTTCAAAGATTTAGTTACAGTTCATATAAGTAAATCAGCCAATTGAAATACATTCATTAGTCCCTAATCTATGGATTTCACATGACTGGGAATACAGATATGCATCTGTTGGTCACAGATACCTTAAAAACAAAGGTAGGGGCATGGATCAGAAAACCAGTCAGTATGTGGCAGGGTCTACAGACAATCACGGACTAGAAAAGGAAAACCAGCCACGTCGCCGACACCGACGTCTCGCTTCCAGACAAGCTAAACACCTTCTTCGCCCACTTTGAGGATAACACAGTGCCACTGACGAGGCCCACTACCAAGGACTGTGGCCTCTCCTTCTCCGTGGCCGACATGATTGAAAACATTTAAGCATGTTAACCCCCGCAAGGCTGCCGGCCCAGACGGCATCCCTAGCCGCGTCCTCAGAGCATGCGCAGACCAGCTGGCTGGTGTGTTTATGGACATATTCAATCTCTCCCTTTCCCAGTCTGCTGTTCCCAAATGCTTCAAGATGGCCACCATTGTCCCTGTACCCAAGAAAGCAAAGGTAACTGAACTAAATGACTATCGCCCTGTAGCACTCACCTCTGTCATCATGAAGTGCTTTGAGAGACTAGTCAAGGATCATATCACCTCTACCTTACCTGTCACCCTAGACCCACTTCAATTTGCTTACCGCCCTAATAGATCCACAGATGATGCAATCGCCATCACACTGCACACTGCCCTATCCCATCTGGACAAGAGGAATACCTATGTAAGAATGCTGTTCATTGACTATAGCTCAGCATTCAACACCATAGTACCCTCCAAGCTCATCATTAAGCTCGAGGCCCTGGGTCTGAACCCCGCCCTGTGCAACTGGGTCCTGGACTTCCTGACGGGCCACCCCCAGGTGGTGAAGGTAGGAAACAACATCTCCATTTTGCTGATCCTCAACATTGGGGCCCCACAAGGGTGCGTGCTCAGCCCCCTCCTGTACTCCCTGTTCACCCATGACTGCGTGGCCAAGCACGCCTCCAACTCAATCATCAAATTTGCAGACGACACAACAGTAGTAGGCTTGATTACCAACAATGACGAGACCACCTACAGGGAGGAGGTGAGGGCTCTGGGAGTGTGGTGCCAGGAAAATAACCTTTCACTCAACGTCAACAAAACAAAACAAAGGAGATAATCGTGGACTTCAGGAAACAGCAGAGGGTACACCCCCCTATCCACATCGACGGGACCGCGGTGGAGAAGGTGGAAAGCTTCAAGTTCCTTGGCGTACACATCACCGACAAACTGAAATGGTCCACCCACGCAGACAGTGTGGTGAAGAAGGCACAACAGAGCCTCTTCAACCTCAGGAGGCTGAAGAAATTCAGCTTGGCACCTAAAACCCTCACAAACTTTTACAGATGCACAATTGAGAGCATCCTGTCGGGCTGTATCACCACCTGGTACGGCAACTGCACCGCCCGCAACCGCAGGACTCTCCAGAGGGTGGTGCGGTCTGCTGAACGCATTACCGGGGGCAAACTACCCGCCCTCCAAGACACATACAGCACCCGATGTCACAGGAAGGCCAAAAAGATAATTAAGGACATCAACCACCCGAGCCACTGCCTGTTCACCCCGCTATCATCCAGAAGGCGAGGTCAGTACAGGTGCATCAAAGCTGGGACAGAGAGAATGAAAAACAGCTTCTATCTCAAGGCCATCAGACTGTTAAATAGCCATCACTTGCACATTTGAGGCTGCTGCTGCCTATTGAAATCATTGGCCACTTTAAGAAATGGAACACTAGTCACTTTAATAATGTTTACATATCTTGCACTACTCATTTCATATGTATATACTGCATTCTATTCTATATATTCTACTGTATCTTTGTCCATGCCGCTCTGTCATATATGTATATATATGTATATTTATCTCTGTCATATATATGTATATTTTTCTTAAAATTCCATTCCTTACTAGTTTTGTGTGTATTGGGTATATGTTGGGAAATCTTTAGATATTACTGCATTGTTGGAGCTAGAAGCACAAGCATTTCGCTACACCCGCTATAACTTCCGCTAAACATGTTTATGTGACAAATAACATTAGATTTTCTGGTGTGAACACCATTTGCCTCATGCAGCGCGACACATCTCCTTCGCATAGAGTTGATCAGGATGTTGATTGTGGCCTGTGGAATGTTGTCCAACTCCTATTCAATGGCTGGGCAAAGTTGCTGGATATTGGCGGGAACTGGAATACGTTGTCGTACATGTCGATCCAGAGCATGCCAAACATGCTCAATGGGTGACATGTCTGGTGAGTATGCAGGTCATGGAAGAACTGGGACATTTTCAGCATCCCGGAATTCTGTACACATCCTTGCGACATGGGGCCGTGCATTATCATTACATTTTAGTCATTTAGCAGACGCTCTTATTTTTGACCTGAGCCTTATGTTTCCAGCCTGGGTGACCAGCTGCAGTGAGGAAGGGTTTTCATGCACAGCCTGAGCGCCTGCCGGGCAGAAATAACAGCAGCAGCTCTCTGACCTCTCACTCTCCTATAACAGCCGCCTGTAAAACCGTGGTAAATAACGCACCTGCAACAAGGCCAAGCATCTCCTCTTTCTAGTCTCTCCGATGCTGCCTGGCCAAATGGTGCAGAAACACGTGTGTGTGTCTTTGGATGTTTTAGGTTGTAGTGTGTTTGTGTTTGTCTGTGTGCGCATATGTGTGTGAAGGTAGTGAGGGCTGAGGGTTATGGTGGTGGATGAATGGCATGACAATGTGCCTCAGGATCTCGTCACTGTATCTCTGTGCATTCAAACTGCCATCGATAAAGTGTAATTGTGTTCATTGTCCGTAGCTTATGCCAGCCCATACCATAACCCCACTGCCACTATGGGGCACTCTGTTCACAACGTTGACATCAGCAAACCGCTCTCCCACACAACGCAATACATGCTCTCTACTATCTGCCCGGTACAGTTGATACCGGGATTCGTCCGTGAAGAGCACACTTCTCCAGCATGCCAGTGGCCATCGAAGGTTTGCCCATTGATGTCAGTTACGATGCCTAACTGCAGTCAGGTCAAGACCCTGGTGAGGATGACGAGCACGCAGATGAGCTTCCATGAGATGGTTTCTGACATTTTGTGGAGAAATTATTCGGTTGTGCAAACCCACAGTTTCATCAGCTGTCTGAGTGGCTGGTCTCAGATGATCCCGCAGGTGAAGAAGCCGGATGTGGAGGTCCTGGGCTGGCGTGGTTACGCGTGGTCTGCTGTTGTGCTGCCGGTTGGACGTACTGCCAAATTCTCTAAAACGATATTGGTAGAGAAATGGTGGAGAAATGAATATTCAATTCTCTGGCAACAGCTCTGGTGGACATTCCTGCAGTCAGCATGCCAATTGCACATTCCCTCAAAACTTGAGACATCTGTGGCATTGTGTGTTGTGTGACAAAACTGCACATTTTAGAGTGGCCTTTTATTGTCCCCAGCACAAGTTGCACCTGTGTAATGATCATGGTGTTTAATCAGCTTCTTGATATGCCACACCTGTCAGGTAGATGGCTTATCTTGACAAAGGAGAAATGCTCACTAACAGGGATGTAAACATATTTGTGCACAAAATGTTAGATACTTTTTTTTGTGTGTATGGACAATTTCTGGGATCTTTTATTTCAGCTCATGAAACATGGGACCAAACCTTGACATGTTGCTTTTATATTTTTTGTTCAGTATATATCTTATAAGCTAGTAATCACTGGTCTGACACAAAGAACAACAGAGCAGGCAATATTTATTAGTAATTCTGTTTTTACATCATTTAAATTATATGGGTATCCAGCCTCTGTGCCTTTTTGGCACCACAATTGACAATAGAGTACACAAAAACTAATTGTATTTATTATTTACAGTACAGTCCCCACCCCTACCACCAGAGGTCACCCTTATCATTATGCTCTAATTTGTTAAATTACAGTACAGTAATGCGTTTTCTACTTTCATTAACAAGGTTTTCTTTTTTACATTCATAAATTAAACAATAAAGCAGACAAACATAGCATAAATGCATTAATTATGTACATTACATTTCAGATCCACACTGGGTGTTATCATGCAGGTTTTCTATGTGTTGAGGTTTTCTATCATGCAGGTTTTCTATTCTTACTTTTTTGTTTAAAATAAATGCACTGTTGGTTAAGGGCTGTAAGTAAGCATTTCACTGTAATGTCTGCACCTGTTGTATTCGGCGCATGTGACCAATAAAATTTGATTTGATTTGATTTGATTTGATTGTGGAACTCACTGGAGAATGGTGGTTGAATGGAGATCTCTTCCTGAACTCTTACTGCTAGAAGGAAAGTGAGGGAGAAAAGGAAGGAACATTAACTTCCATTTATCAGCAGTGGCACATCATAAAGACTTCACAAACAACACATCCTTTTTTTTTTTTTTTTTTTTTTTTTTTTACAGTATTGCAATCAAATGGTGCCGCCATATGGTCTAACCAACGCAAACTTACCATTACCTTAGTATCATAGGTACTCTTGAAGTCCTGCATTTCATAATTTGGGACAAAAGCAGAAGTAGAAGACTGCAGAACATAGAAGGCAACAGCTACACAAACCGTTGCCATGACAAAATATGAAACCTCAAAGTCCTAAACAAACTTTTACAGCGATTATATGTTAATGAATAACATGAAAGGGCCAGAGACTGAATAGTTGTCATTAAGTCAAACTAAAACTTCCTGGAAAAATATATAATAGGCAAACAGACTTTGCATACAGTATTTTTCACACTGCAATTCCTGTTAAGCAAGTAATCTTGTTTATTAAAGGAAGGCTGTAGTAGAATACAGACGTGTACAGACACATCCCATGGGTGACCATGTTTTACTTACTGTCAGGGGTAGAGGTGGAGATAGATTTTGTTGTGTGTTGTCACGCACAGGTGATGGGTTCTCATACACAGGTGATGGGTTCTCAGACACGGGTGATGGGTTCTCATACACAGGTGATGGGTTCTCATATACATTTTGTTGAGAGCCTTTAAGAGATACACAAATAGAGGTGATAGTATAGTTGCTGCTATCTTGTTAGCATGTGTCTGCATACACATTGTTACAGTATTAAGCATCGTCACAGTGGTGTTGTACTATATCATGTCATTTGTCTGAATCCATTTCATTCTTCCATGGAAACTGCAAATCACTCTGGATAAGAGCATCTGCTAAATGACCATTTTAATGAAATGGAGTAAACAAATGTTTGAAAAACATGATTAATTCTATGATTGGAGATAAAGCATATGCTTACCTCCTCGATGCATTGGGTCAGCATTGCTTCTATATACAACAAGAAATAAACATTGAAAGGTATAAGGAAATAATATTACAGTGCGTTTAACAGTTTACAGTGAAGTTATAAGAACATAATATTACAATGCTTTTAAAAGTTTACAGTGCTTTTGAAATACACCCAGGCCCTTTTTCTGACCAGTTTAGATCAATGTGAAAACAGAGCCTATATTGTCTACTACCTGCAGTGATAGAAAATACACTCGTTTAAATGAAAAGTTTCTTAACTCACCCCTTTTTCTTGATGAAATAGACTGCAACACTAACTGCCACTTCCAGAACCAGCAACACTATAATCACAATCCCAGTGATGGCAACAGTAGACAGTCCTGGAGTTAGAGAGCCATCCGCTGCAGAGACCAGAGATAGAACCATACAGTGATGAGAGAAAGGCTACACACAGTGAACAATCAGTACTGCACATTACAGTGCATCTGGGTGACAACACAACAAACACAACTAAAGGCACTATTTCAAAACAAGTTTGGAATGCAAAACTTCATAAGTATAACTTTTTTTCTTCTACTAGCACTGACTTTTCTGATAGTTACTTTATTGAGGAAAAATGTACTTACTATGACTGAGATATTTGGTTATCCCACATAGCTTTCTTAATGCACTAATTGTAAGTCACTCTGGATTAGAGTGTCTGCTAAATGGCTAAAATGTAAATGTAACTTTTATCTCTTACTATGTTCATATTGTCTTTAAAGATTTAGCTTACTTCACCTTTTACGGACAGTTTATGGACCTCAGATGTGTTGTTCCCAGTGACATCATTTGTTGCTGTACAGGTGTAATCCCCACTGTCAGAGTATTCACTCTTCTCTTTAGTGAACTCAGGTGAATGTCCAGGTATCTCTGTTCCATTGAGCATCCAGATGTAACTAGCAGGGGGGTTGGAGTCAGCAGAGCAGGTCAATGTTAACTTCTGTCCTAGTTCTATTTCAGTTGGACCCTTGATTTCCATACCATCAGGTCCATCTGTAACACAGAGATCACCTGTTAGTCATAGCTACAAGTGTATTAGTTTGTGATCAGTGTGACGTTGGAGTCATAATGGTTGGTGTAAAGTTTGTGTTCATTCATTGTTATATTATTTTCATGTGCACCTATTGATGGTACAGTTGGTACATTTACCTGGTACATTTATCTGGTACATTTATCCCCAGGTTTATAGGGAAGTACTTACAGATTACATTCACAGTGTCACTGGCATTTTCAGAGCTGACAGGGTTGCTGACTCTACACAGGTATTCTCCACTGTCTGTTCTCTTCTTTATGGACAGCACTCTCTTATCCTCAGATAAGATGATATTATCACCAGAAGACAGAGGCTGACCATCCTTCATCCACTCTCTGGTGATGTTGAAGCCAGCAGCATCACAGGTTAAGGTGACAGAGCCCCACTCGATGATTGGTGGGTTTGGGGTAATTGTGATAGTAGCACCAGATACTGTTTCTGTGAAAAGAGTACAAGGTGAGATAATACTAATTAATGTGGTTTGGAAATTAAGAATAGGAGAAACAGGTTCGTTTTATGTTCATGTTGCACAGTGGTTGAAAAAGTACCTAACTGTCATACTTGAGTAAAAGTAAAAGTCCCTTAATAGAAACGTAAGTATCAAAAGTAGATGTAATTACTAAAATATACTTAAGTATCAAAAGTAAAAGTAAATCATTTCACATTCCTTATATTCAGCAAACCAGACGGCACAATTTTGTTGTTATTTTAATTTACGGATAGCCAGGGGCACACTCCAATACTCAAACATAATTTACAAACAAAGCATTTGTGTTTAGTGAGTCCGCCAGATCAAAGGCAGCAGGGATGACTAGGGATGTTATTTTGATAAGTGCGTGAGTTGGAACATTTTCCTGTCCTGCTAAGCATTGGAAATGTAACGAGTACTTTTGGGTGTCAGGGAAAATGTAGGGAGTAAAAAGTACATTCTTTTCTTCAGGAATGTAGTAGAGTAAAGTTCTCAAAAATATAAATAGTAAAGTAATGTATCGATACCCAAAAGAAACTACGCAAGTAGTACTTGAAAGTATTTGTACTTAAAAAATGTACACCACTGATGTTACATTACCATGGACAGGCACGGAGCTCGAGTATCAGCACAGATTGGGCAGGGCGCTCTCGAGGGGTCCGTAGCAAATATTTTAAAATTAATAGCTGATATGCCCTATCATAAAAGCAAATTAGGCTGTTAGTAGGTTATTTCGTCATCTAACTTATTTATAAAACGCGCTACCGCATACCGCTAGTTTGAGCGAAGCGAGAGCTCACAGCTCATTAATCATGTGTTCTTATAATTCCAGTCATTGTGCAACATTTCTCGCAATCGCGTGTGAAAACAGAGTTTTACTTTATAGCCTATTACGACGCATGTCTAACCCTGCTTCAAAGTAGCCTATAGCCAAAATCCGACCATATAAACGTTTAGGGAATAATTTTATAAATATTCCTCATATGCCATTGAAACCAACATTTCTCTCTTGTTCTATACATTTTTATATCAACTTTCTTTCATTGTCCAGAAGCCAAAGGCACAATCCTACACTCTTAGAAAAAAGGGTTCCAAAAGGGTTCTATGGGCTGTCCCCATAGGAGAACCCTTTTGGGTTCCATGTAGAACCCTCTGTGGAAAGGTTTCTACATGGAACCAAAAAGTGTTCTTCAAAGGGTTCTCCATTGGGTACAGCCGAAGAACCCTTTGAAGTTGTAGATAGCCACCTTTTTTTCTAAGAGTCATATTAGCAACCCATTCTAGTTGTTGCATCTTTAGATTTCCACTCATTCTAAGTTTCTAACAGAGATTTTCACCTCTGTCACATGAAACCGCTGGCATTGAGTTTGCCTTTACAATGGTGTTTTCCCACTTATTGCATTTTGGAAAATGTTTGAAAATGATGTCGCCTAATACATTGCCTACTTCATTACAGTAGCTGCATGTTCAATAATGGCCTATAGTCTCTTGGCTGTGAGACGATTGAAAAAATTCACTCTGAACATTGAAAAGGCCTGGCTAAACAATCTGTTTTCATTTAATATTATTGTAGAAAATCATGTTGTTTTGGTGCTGTATGAATTGGACTATTAGTAGTTTTAAACTAACAAACTTACTAAATAAATGAATGACCCTGGTCCCTCCCAGCAGCAGCCAGCCACCAGCCCAGGCAGCTGCCGGTTCCAGGCCAGGGGGGCCCTCAAGGGGGACCAGCGACAGACAGCTGTTCATTGCTTTATAAAATAAGCAACACCAGCTCAGACCAATTCCAGGATTTAATGAAATCATATAATATATTGCACTGTATATACATTTTTCCATGTTTTACAGTGTCAAATAATGTTATTTCTTTGATTTTTGGTACATCATTGTTGAAAACGTGGTCACCAGGGTTGCGGTCAATTCCATTTAAATTCCAGTAAATTCAGGAAGTACACTTAATTTCCAATTCCAATTCTCTTCCATGGTTTTCAATTAGTAAAAATGTAAATTTGAATTGGAGTTTGGTTCACTTTTTGAATTGACTGGAATCTAAATGGAATTGACCCCAACCCTGGTGGTAACACCCATGGCCCTCGCACTAGCTCTGCTTCTGACCATGGATCATGTATGTAGTAGAGTGTCAAGAGATATCCATCAAATAAATTGTAACTGCACCATTAAAGAGTAACTGCATTTCAACAAGCACATTGTGTTTTTTGTTTTATATTGTTTTTATGGATGGAAGTACATTATATTCACATTAGTTGACAACTCAATGCAATATCAATGCACATTTATCATTCAGTGACATCTTTTGGAACTCAGGGGGTACTCACCATAAACATTCAGTGAAGTATCTGCTAACTGCATAAAATCAGACTCCCCTATGATCACTCTGTATTCTCCACTGTCAGCCAGGGTCAGTTTCCTGAGCTCCAGAGATCCAGTGCTATTGTCCAGACTGATCCTACCAACATATCCCACTCCGGTCACAGGACCTTCAGAACTGAGAAAGTCAACAATGGTGACAGGGGGATCACCAAATGTCCAAGAGATTGCACTAAGTGTGGTTGGATTGATGGTGGTTTTGAAAACCACATTTCCTCCCAATGTTCCATTCACGGGTCCAGGTGGAAGCACTTCTAGACCAGCACAATATCCTGAGGAAACAACAACAGGGCTTGATAATCATGTCTCCAAAACAAACACAAAATGCTGTAATCAAAGACATAAGTGGAACGTTTTCAAATAAGTTCTTAAACGCTTTTATAAAATAATTATTTTATCAAGAACATTTTTGAAGCCACTATGGTAGCCACTGTGCCTAGTGGAATAACTCTATTTTGTGAGAGCAAATATTAAGCAGCATTTGTCACCACCTGAAAGGGATAGTTCACCCAAATTACTAAATGACATATTGGATTCTTTACCATGTAAGCCATCTATGGACAAGGTCTGACAGCAATCCGTTAAACATTTAATTAAATGTGTATGCCCTTAGAGATGGATATGAACATAATTGAAACTACGTCTATGACTATTGACAAAGAACCTGCTATTTATTGAAGAACAATTCCTACTGTCATGGGAGAGGAGAAGAATATATTACATTAACACAGAATTAATGGTCCTAAAATTTCAGAAGGATCATGAAAGGGTTTGGAAATTATGACATTTTTTACCCCTTGGTGTCAAATTCACCCCATGTTGGTGCTTTTAGTGAACCTATGTGTGGCTGTATTTTATTGAGTGCAGCAGATAAGGTCTCACCTGAGAGTATTCCCATGGTAAGAAAGACGACTGCAGCTGCCACCATCTCTTCTGTATCAAATGTCTGTGATTCAGACTGTATTTCTGTCTCTACAAATAAGTATTACATAGGAGACAGGGCTTCAATAAAAGCGGTCTACAGTGACACCAAAACCTGAAATGAAATATTGAGATAAAATGTTTTCATGAGTTCCATCACTGCATGAAGGAACAAATGACCAAACTCCACTATTGGAACACTACAACCCACCTCCACTAAGACTAATAAGGAAGCTGTGGGGGGGTTTACATTCACTGAGCCTGTTGCCCTCTATTGCTTTGGAAGCTTTGACTGATAAACGTGGACTTTGGTCTTGAGGTATTTTCTGATAATAGATGATATATTCTATATCTAATAAAAGTTAGTGCTTTATACTCCTTCTCAAACATTGACATCACTGTAGGATCACTTAGAACCAACACCCAGCTTTGTATGAATGAATGAACTGAATGTAATTAGGTCATATCAACATACTACTGGTCACACTTGACACAAAGAACAACAACGTTGATGGAGAAAAGTAATCGTTATTATTAATTCTGTTTTTACATAATGTAAAGCAATACGTTACTCCAGCTTCATTGCCTTTTTGACTCCACACTTCAAAATACAGTGTTCTATAAATACTTGTATTGACTATTTACATTATATTGTTAACATTACATCCTCCACATGCTTTGATCAGTTACGGTATCGTTGTTATCTACTTTCATTAACAAGGTTTTGGTTTTCAATATGAATAAAGTACACAAAAAAGCAGATTATCAAACACAAGATATATTTATTGATTATGTATATTATATTACAGATCCACACTGGGTGTTATCATGCAGGTTTTCTATGTGTTGATGATGGATTTAACTTGATTGCTGGAGGTGGTGTGGAAGACCAAACTAAATGAAACATATATTATATATATAGAAATGTTTGACCATACTGGTTCTAGATATGTGCCAAAATGCTGATAAATTTTACAAATGTGTGTAAACTATCCCTTTAATGAAATCTGCAATAAATAAAAAACTGAACTAAAGTAAAGGTTGGGCATTTGTCATCTCTAGTGTGTGGTTTTTACACTAGTGTGTGGTTTTGGATACTGAAGTTTTGACACGTTCTGGCTTGCACTCTGTAACTGGCCACTAATGGCCATATAGGGGCCTTTTCCTATCTCTGTAGCTCAGCTGGTAGAGCACGGCGCTTGTAACGCCAAGGTAGTGGGTTCGATCCCCGGGACCACCCATACACCAAAAATGTATGCACGCATGACTTTAAGTCGCTTTGGATAAAAGCGTCTGCTAAATGGCATATTATATTATTATTATTATATTATTATCTATGCAGTGGTGTGTGACATTAGTGTGAGAGTTATTCAGAGATGTGTGTGGGAAATGTATGTCTGCATCTTTCTTAAAGGCTTTTCAATTATGTTGTTCACACCATGAGAAACTGGCGATCCCTTATTGCAGGGTTTCACAAACTCAGTCCTGGGGCACCCCTTGGTGCACGTTTTGGTTTTTACCCTAGCAGTACACAGCTGATTAAATAATCAAACTTGATGGTGAGCTGGGCAGAAGGACTGAACTCTGTTGAGCAGGACATAGTGAGGTCTGACCAGAGACATTAGAGAAAGCGAGACACCCCACTACCTCATTTGTTTTAGGTCAGGGTGGGGCCACTCTGGTCTACTTATGCCCCCGCCACACGGGCCCATCTACACAGACAGGAACCTTGACCATTTTTTCCAATGGTAAACTGCCTGAGTAAGACATCTTCATTTATCCACCATGTTTGTTCTGACACTGATCCATACAGTACATCTACATTTAAATTATCGACAGATTCAAACCAGCGACCTTTCGACCTTTTGGCCCAACGCTCTTAACCACTAGCCTACCTGCCGCCCTAAAGGGGTCTAGAGGGGTTATCTAGAGGGGTCACCTTCATTGTGGTGTTTTCTGAATCTTATGCGACACATTTGAAAACCATTGTAAGCCCAATAAAACATCAATGTCCAATCAATGTCATGGTCAAGACCAAGAGGCAAAATTCAACCAGCTATAGTGTTCAACAAGTGTAGGTCATATGAGCCTGTAGAATAACTTGAGCAGTAATTGGATAAAACATACAGTTGCATTCAGTTTGTTAATGAAAATGGACTCACAGCTGATAGTGAGGGTTAGAGGCTGGCTGGTTCCATTACTGACGGGGTCGAACCAATTATATGTATTAATCCTAGATGACTGACAAGGGGGCCGCTGTTTTGAAACCATTGCGCAGGCATTTTGGAACTCCTCCATAGTAAAACATGATTTGGAAGCCATAGAAATCCATTTATTATTGTCTACATTCATTTTTGACATGTATATTCTATTTCAGACACCTTATTGCATACTTTTAAATTATATTATGTGAATTGAACAACAACAAAAAAATATATAAAACATATTACTTAAAGGAATTTTTTGGGAGAGTACTAAGGTTACTGTCTCCACTACAACAAATAAATACTTAAATACATGTAATTTTGTCCTTGAAACATTTTATTGAAATACTGTAGATTTCCATTCATTCCTATGGAGGATTACTCCTTCTGAGGAGTTCCAATATGGTGGCAGGTGGATTCAAAGCCTCTCATTGGCCATTACATGGCATCAATAATCCAGGGTTTATACACATCATTGGGTTGAACACGGTACAGCTGAATGGTCCCGGGTCATACCAGGTCACACTGACTATGGTGAGAGTTTCCATCAACAAGCTGAACTCCATCACTGGCTGTGACCTCAGAGCTGCCATTCAGCCAGCGGTAAGAAAGGGAGGAGGCAGAGGAGGAGCAGGACAAATTGACAGAGCTGTTTAACTCCACTAAATCTGTGTTATAGGGAGTTATCACCACGTTGCAGACTCGCTCTGTGGGTTAAACACATTATAACTACCTTCTCTTTGCGTAGAAGACCATTTCTGAAGAATGTACCTTTTCTGAACACATTGTTTCATCATACACTACTAACTAAAATGAATGAGATCATTAGAAACAAATGAGGTGGAGAAATGGCACTGTGCCCAGACAACTGACTGGATTTGAGAAACAGCAGCTCATTAAACTGTAAATGACAAACAGCTACACCCTCACATGGCCTGAACATATACAATCTATACAGATTCTTGGATGTTTCTGATTTCATCACAGAGGGAAAGTGTACTTTATTTTAAAACCATTTCCTACATTTCCTAGATCTAAATCAGTAGTACTTACCATATACCTCCAGTCTTGTTTCCCCACTCAGCAGTGATCCTTCTTTAAGAAAAGGCTTACTTTGTATTTTGTACCCGTCAACGGGGCCAGGTCCCTGAGTTCAATAGATCCAGTGGTTTTGTCCAGAGTGATCCTGTCTTCATATCCAGGCCTGATGTTGTCATGAGTGATGGTACGATGATTACATTGAGGACACATTCTCCTCTGGATCAACCGTTGTGGTGAATGTGACATTTTCTTTTACCTCAGCAACCATCTGGTACCATAACAAGACCCCAGAGAGACAACAACAGAACAGATTTGGGTATTTCTTCATAATGTATGTTACATGCACATGACAGGAGTGATCCTGTCACTGTATCCCAGTTCATTGGTGTCAGAGGACAAGTTATTACATTGGTACAAATAACTTTCAAGGCTACTGATGTAAATGGATGAGATGTTAGCATATTGTGGTTTACATTCTCTCCTACAGCTCAATGTACAGCTTCAGAGGGAAACATGTTGGCTTGCCCGAATGATGGCAATTATAAATAATTAATTGAGTGTCCTTTTTTATTATGAGTCAAACAGCAGTCCATGAAGTCAGTCAATTAAAGGATGACATTATGCAGAAGCAAATTGTTAGATCAAGGTTATCAACAGTCCTAGAAGATGTAGATGATAGCCCTTACACCTTACTCTCCCCTGTCCTTATATAAACAATTCAATGTCCCTCTTTGACTTCCTTCTTCTGTAATTTGCTGAGAACAGCAGGTAAAAACTCACCTGTGAGCATTGCCATGGTGAAAATGATTACTGCAGCTGCTTCCGTGTCAAGTGTTTCTGAAAAAAGAGTGAATCTGCCCATAATTTACCATGGCGAGGATGAAGTGTCATTCAGTACAGGGACTAATTGGGTAATTTGATGGTTACATCACAAAGAGTTGGGTTATTTGATCGTTACGTCACTGTAGATTCTACAGTGATGTAACCATCAAATAACCCAACTCTTTAGGAGTCCCTGTACTGAATGAACGGCAGTGTAGAACGCCAGCTCTGTAGTAATTTATTAACTGAATGTCAGAAGGTCATATCCACATGATGTATGGCAACAAATAATTAGTCTCTTATCAGAAGAAGCTCTCCACATAGAAAAGCCGGAATATCATAAACTAACAATATATGAATAATCTTACAGCCATATACATTTACTTTGTCAGAATTGTAGGTGTTCTTAACAATAAAGTGTTGGTATACTAATATTTATGTGAATCAATAGGGAATCTTTAGGTTATGTTTTAGGCTGGTAATTACACTTCACAGTACATTATTGGTCACACTTGACACGAGAACAAAATAATTGATGGAAAATATCTGGCAATGTTAATTAATGAGTTGCACCCCCCCTCTTCCCCTCAGAACAGCCTCAATTCATCGGGGCTTGGCTTACAACATGGAATTAAAATTGATTTTTTGGGGGTTTGTATCGTTTGATTTACACAACATGCCTACCACTTTGAAGATGCAACATATGTTTTCTTGTGAAACAGACAAGAAATAAGATAATAAAACAGAAAACTTGAGCGTGCATAGCTATTCACCTTGAGCATTCAAGCTTGGCACATCTAGCCACTGGGATTTTTGCCCATTCTTCAACGCAAAACTGCTCCAGCTCCTTCAAGTTGGATGGGTTCCGCTGGTGTACAGCAATCTTTAAGTCATACCACAGATTCTCAATTGAATTGAGGTCTGGGCTATGACTAAGCCATTCCAAGACATTTCCCCTTAAACCACTCAAGTGTTGCTTTAGCAGTATGCTTAGAGTCATTGTCCTGCTGGAAGGTGAACCTCCGTCCCAGTCTCAAATCTCTGGAAGACTGAAACAGGTTTCCCTCAAGAATTTCCCTGTACTTAGCGCCATGCATCATTCCTTAAAATCTGACCAGTTTCCCAGTCCCTACTGATGAAAAACATCCCCACAGCATGATGCTGCCACCACCATGCTTCACTGTGAGGATGGTGTTCTCTGGGTGATGAGAGGTGTTGGGTTTGCGCCAGACATAGCGTTTTCCTTAATGGCCAAAATGCTCAATTTTAGTCTCATCTTCTTCCATATGTTGGGGGAGTCTCCCACATGCCTTTTGGCGAACACCAAACATGTTTGCTTATTTTATTTTTTTACCTCTTAAGGATCTGACCTTTTTTTTTCTCCAATTTTCACCTAAATGACATACCCAAATCTAACTGCCTCTAGCTCATGACCTGAAGCAAGGATATGCATATTCTTGATACCATTTGAAAGGAAACACTTTGAAGTTTGTGGAAATGTGAAATTAATGTAGGAGAATATAACACATTAGATCTGGTAAAAAGATAATACAAACAAAAAAAACATGAGTTTTCAAAAAAATAAAAATATCATCTTTGAAATGCAAGAGAAAGGCCACAATATAATATTGCAGTTTAGGCGCAATTTAGATTTTGGCCACTAGATGGCAGCAGTGTGTGCGCAAAGTTTCAGATTGATCCAGTGAAGCATTGCAATACTGGACTATTTTGTATCAAGTCTGCCAAAATGTGCCGAATTGGTCAATTGATACATTTTCAAGTACATAACTATAGAGAACATACAAAAATGATATGGTAATACAAAATGTAAGTTTACACATGTCATACATGATGGATCATTAGCTTATACACTAACTTTCACACATCTAGATGGCCTAGCGGGCTGAGTGTGGAGCCAGAGACAGCAGGGGTTCAAACTGAAGAACCCAGTTCATACATTTGAATATAAAAATGGATTTTATCAAACAAAACGATGCTACATTTTATCTTTGGGACCAATCAGAGCAAGATTACTGAATGTAAGTACATTATTTACCTTCAGAGGTGAATGTATCAAACCAGTTGCCGTGATATGTTTTCTGTTGTTGTGCACTCTCCTCAAACAATAGCATGTATTTTTTCACTCTAATAGCTACTGTAAATTGGACAGTGCAGTTAGATTAACAAGAATGTAAGCTTTCTGCCCATATAATACATGTCTATGTCCTGGAAAGTTTGCTGTTACTTACAACAGTCATGCTAATCACATTACCGCACGTTAGCTCAACCGTCCCGTATATGGGACACCGATCCCGTAGAGGTTATGCAATGGCTTTTTTTTGGCCACTCTTCCGTAAAGCCCAGCTCTGTGGAGTGTACAGCTTAAAGTGGTCCTATGGATAGATACTCCAATCTCCGCTGTGGAGCTTTGCAGCTCCTTCAGGGTTTTCTTTGGTCTCTTTGTTGCCTCTCTGATTAATGCCCTCCTTGCCTGGTCCGTGAGTTTTGGTGGACGGCTCTTGGCAGGTTAGTTGCAGGTTAGTTGTAGTTGAGATCATGTGACAGATCATGTGACACTTAGATTGCACACAGGTGGACTTTACTTAACTAATTATGTGACTTCTGAAGGTAATTGGTTGCACCAGATCTTATTTAGGGGCTTCATAGCAAAGGGGGTGAATACATATGCATGCACCACTTTTCCGTTATCCATTTAAATTACAGGTTGTAATGCCACAAAATAAGAAAAATGGCAAGGGGGATGAATACTTTTGCAAGGCACTGTAATTGGCCAGCCAATTGACAGCGGTCACTGACACACATTTTCTCATCTCCTCCGCTGCTGACCGCATGTGCTGGCACATAAATAGAATGAATAGAACGGGCGTCCCCATTCAAGTCAATGGTTACACAATGGGTGTACTGGCGGCCATTGCGAGTGTACCCATAGGTGCAAAGCAGAAAGTAAACTATGTGATAAAATATGTGCTGTGATTTGTTGATTCAACTCAACTGACATTACAAAAAATACATTCCATGTGACATGACACTCCTGGGTGAGGATCAAAGGCCTCACATCAGCTTCGTAAATAGCTGACAACTACCAGACCCTCTCACCCACAGAAGAGGGGAAGGGGGGGGGGGATAGTTATTTGGAAAAAAGTATCCCTTTGTTACCGAAGGTTTTGCCGCCCAAAAACTTCAACATCCAACAATGAACACTGGGACAATATATTTCAACATCCGAATGTTGAGAATGATGAGAAATTTAATATGGAAAATTAATGTATTTTTGTTATGTCATTAAAAATGGTATAAAGGCGTTATAACGAAAACATTGTAACTTGAATAGCTTTTACACTGTGTATCAGGTTTACATACTTTACGTTGTGTAGAAAATATCAAGGAGGAAGACAATATTTTCGTGAAGATAGGAATGTGATTTTAGTTTTCTAGCAAGAACATAGTGATGATGATATTTTGCCTCGTAACTAGCCATGCCCGAGGGAGCAAAGAGAGCGTGTCAGTATGACGGAAATTCCCCTTTTACACCCGAGGGTATAAAAGATTGAGTTAAGAATTAACATGCCAGACCAGACGGACTCAAGCTGCAGCTTTTGTTTCCATTGGTTACGACCCTGAAAGTCAACACGAGGTGAAGACGACAAAGTCGCCTCTCTAACAATCAATGTTACAGCTGAGTAGCTGTTCTAAGTACTGTATCTAAGAAGGTGAATTTAAATGGGACCATCCTGTTACTCTCTTCAAACCATCGTCTGCTACACTGCTTTCATCACCCCACTGGGGATTATCGACATGGCTGATTAGCTGTACTCAGAAGACCACTTCCAGAAGGAGTGAAAGTAAAAGTCCTGTGTTATCATTTAGTTTGGTAGTAAATAAATAATCAAATCAATTTGTGTGGTATGGAATGATCAGTAAGACTCGGGTTTGTGCAGATTCAAGAAGTCTGCGACGTTCAGAATTAGACTGATATGAGATAAATGATTAATAAGTAACTGTTATCGATATCTATATATTATTGAGTTTAATTCGGGAGATGGTAACTCGTTAAACGATATCAGTTAACATCATTTGGATGAACATTCTACATAACCACGGAATTGATTGCATCACAATACCAGGCAATCATTGCAAGTGTACCCAAGAGTTTACCAGTCAAATTGCCAGAGTTAGAGATTCCAAGCCGTTTCTATTCATGCTATTTCTATGTCTGCTGCTGCTGCATTGTGGTCATTCAGTCAGGTGTTCAATTTAGTTTTACAAATCTAACCGTTATGACGGTTATTTTATTTTCAGGACAGTCTTCATCCATAACTGTTGGTTACACGGTTAGACAGGAATTGTGCCAGCCCACTTAGAACCAA